CTGGGGTAGTCCGTAGGAACTCTCTGTTGTGAACAGAAAGGAGTTCCTATTAATTTCAGAGTTAATTAATTCTAGATTGACAGGGTGACTTCTTACTTATAGTGGTGATTATTCTTTTGCAGAACGTCAACTTCCTCCTACATTCACCAGAAAACTGAAAGATATTCAGGAGGCGGTTGGTGCCCCAGTGACATTTGATTGCCGCATAAATGGCTCAGAGCCTATCCAGGTGTCTTGGTACAAAGATGGGGTTCTCTTAAGTGACAGTGATAACATGCAATCAGCCTTCTTAAATAATGTTGCGACTCTCCAGATCTTGGAAACTAATATGGCTTACTGTGGCCAATATACTTGCTCAGCCCAAAATGCTCTGGGGACTGCATCTACCAGTGCCAAACTTCTCCTCACAGGTTTGTAGCTCACACTTAAATAAATATCTTTTGTATGTCTTTGCTCTTTTATTTCTTCACCCTTTTTCCTACTCTGCCCATTTGTATGGTGGCCAGGGAGCATGGGCATGGCATGGTGAGGTGTGTGGTGAGGAGGGCTTGTTGGTGAGCTCTGCCATGCTTTCCTCTTTGCAGAACATCTACAACCTCCCTTCTTTGACATCAAGCCAGTATCTATCGATGTAGCGCTAGGGGAAAGTGCAACCTTTAAGTGCCACATGACTGGCTCTGCTCCCATGAGGATTACTTGGACCAGAGACAACAGAGAGATCCGCCCAGGAGCCAACTACAAGATGACACTGGTGGAAAACACGGCCAGCTTGACAGTCTTAAAAGTTGGCAAAGGGGATGCTGGACTCTACACATGTACTGCGAGCAACAGTGTTGGAAAGGATGCGTGCGCAGCTCAGCTGGCTGTACAAGGTATTGCTGTGGGCTTTAGTGTTCATGAGGCTTTTCTTTGCAAAGCAGACACCCAGAAAACAGAGTCCTGAATGCAGTCGTGTGCGACTAACCACATTTCCAAGATGCTACACTGAAATATCTTATTTAATTTCAATATTATCATAATACTTAAATACTTATTCATCTTTCTTCTGGTCTCATATCGTGCATGGTCTATCTTATCAAAGGGATTCTTTCATGAAAATGTTAACTCTTAGTACCCTGTTGTGCCTTTATGAATGGCCCTGTTGGCCAGCAAAATCTGTCTTCCTTAAGCTCTTTCTCTAACAGTGACATTCACTATGTTGTCCAGGGGAGGGAAAGGTAACTGAGAGAAACTCGGTTCACTTACGAGATTTAAATGCATTTTTACTGGCTGTGCAGCTGCTGCAAATAGTTTTACTCTTTCACAAACTGAAAACATTGAAAACTGCTGTTCTAGATAGCAAAACTGAAGGACGTGAGGGCATTTGTTGGCGACAAATATCCATTTCACTAACACTTCACTTCTCCACATAGCATGTGGATCTTAAACATTTCAGTGATCTAAATTTACGACTGAATCAAACTGTCTTGGTACAAGTGACATTTCCTCAGTGTAGGTGGGAACATTGGATTTATTTACAGCTGTTCCGGATATCTCATTCTTATTGATTTTATAAAAGAATGAATGTAAAATACACTACTTAAGTTGTGCATGAGTTCAAATGTCCCTGTTGGTTTAGTGCTTTCCCTTTTTTTCCTTCTTTATGAACTTGGGGGAAAAAATCAAAAACATTTGAAGAGTAAATACTGTGACTTTTACTCTTTAAGGCAAAAAATACAAGAAACTGGACTACTACTAATAAGATTTTGTAATAATTGCTTGTCAAATGTATTGTATATATCTAGAGTATATTTTATCCATAGGGATTTTTCTTGATGGGGGTGGGAAGAGTGTGGCAGACTGAATTACCTGTGGATTCAGCGGCAAGTAGAGATAAAGTTATTATGTAGCTTGACTTACAAAAAGCATTGAAAGATTATCCTGGGCTACATCAGAAGAAGCATGGTCAGCAGGTCAGGGGAGATGATTTTTCCCCTTTACTCTGCTCTCATGAGACCCCACCTGGAGTACTGCGTTCAGCTCTTACTCCCCCAGCATAAGAAGGACAGGGAACTGTTGGAACGAGTCCAGAAGAGGGCCATGAAGATGATCCAAGGGCTGGAGCACCTCTCCTGTGAAGACAGGCTGAGAGAGTTGGGGCTGTTTGGTCTGGAGAAGAGAAGGCTCTGGAGGAGACCTTCTAGCAGCCTTCCAGTCTTTAAAGGGGGCCTACAAGAAAACTGGAGAGGGACACTTTGCAAGGGCATAAAGTGACAGGACAAGGGGTAATGGCTTTAAACTGAAAGAGGGTAGATTTAGGTTAGATGTAAGGAAGAAGTTCTTGACTCTGAAGGCGGTGAGGCACTGGAACAGATTGCCCAGAGAAGTTGTGGATGCCCCATCCCTGGAAGTGTTCAAGGCCAGGTTGGATGAGGCTTTGAGCAACCTGGAGTAGTGGAGGGTGTCCCTGCCCATGGCAGAGGGGTTGGAACTAGACAATCTTTGAGGTCCTTTCCGATTCAAACCATTATATGATTTTATGATTGTAGCAAGGTATCTAACCTCTTTAAAAGATTTAAAGCTTGTTTCCACCAGAATTACAATTCTGGTTTTTATTAATGGTAACTTTACTAATAGGTTTATTTGACCAGCGTTACCATTTGTAAAATCATAGAATCATAGAATGGTTAAAATGATCCCGACTGACCTTATTTGCTTTCTTACTTTTCAACTCTTTATTCATAAAATCCTGAAATTATTATTTTTTTTCCCCAGGATTTTTATTTTCTTTTTTGATCCTGAACTTACACTGGTACTCACTTCAATCCTTTAGAATTTGTACAGTTTCCCCAGGGCTGTAAAATTGATGATATTCATTGTTTGTTAGCCAGCTCTTATAGAACTTGGAAGGGCAAGATCTTTATGTGCATTGATTTGCATGTGTTTAATTTGAGCAAATGCTGTCTCCCTTCTCTGACACACAGCCTTTTTTTTTGTAGAATTAAGATCTTTGGTTCAACTGACCTTAAAATCTTTCAGTTTTTTATTAACTTTCCCACTTTAACATCTAATGTTCCCAATCTGTAGTTTTAACAATTGCTTTAGGTGACAGAAACTGTTTTTCATTCTAAGTATATACCTTACTAACTTGTATATCCTGTTTTTTGGAAAAGAATGGAGTTAGAGTATGACTTCTTAGCTACTGTTAGTATGCAGATAGATAATCGACTCTTTGTCAAAGTAAAATCTGATGGTAAAGGACCAAGGTTCCAAGAGTCCTCGTGTTAACAAGCCATCATTTCTATTTTTGGAAACTCTAAGGAAGTTTTGTTACTAACAACATAGAATGTTGTGCTACAGTCCCACAGGTTGAAGTAACCTAAAATGAAATAGATATTCTTCCTACACTTTACAGGCAGATGCACAAAGAGGCATTTCATCCTGTTTTGCAGAGAGATTTGTTTGTTGTGCCCACATTACCACCTCTTGGTTTTACTAGTTATATCTTTGATCTATGAGCATTCAGTCTTGTGATTCTGAATCATCCCTATGGTACTTTTGACGAAGAGTATCAAACCTCTACTCCTTTCTCTTCTTACAGAACAAAATGTAACCATCCAGCTTACTTTCCTATCACAGGATTTTCAACACCAATTCCTGTAATACTAGCCATCTCATAATTCTTTCCAGCATGATTATTTTGAACCTCTTTTTTTTTGCTACCATAGCTCCTTTACTTTTATTCCTTATATGCACCTTTATGTTTGACTTTGCAACAAATGTGTAAAAGGTTGTAATGCAGATACGTTTATTGACTATCTCAATTGTTAATGAGATATTAAGATATAAAGCAGCTGCTATAATGCTCAACATAAATGCACTTAATAATATTGCTTGACTGAAAAGTTCAGATTCTTGCATTTCCATCAGGCATTTTGATTACTTATGTATTGCAAGAGGATATTAAAGAAAACCACACATCAGCTGTTCTGTACTGAATAAATAGGAGAAGTAGAGTGGGACAAGAAATTAAGGAGAAACTAACTGAAATGCAGATAGAGAACTTGTTTGCTTCCTAATCTAGATTATGGACCAATTTGACATCATCTAAAAGACATTTCATAGCAATTGTAAAATTAGAATATTTTCATAATTCCCCCAAGTTTACATTTTCTGTTACACATTTCCCTGCTTATTTAAAGAATCAGTGCAGTTTAAAGCACTATCTTCCTTTTTTGGCTTTCCAGAACCACCAAGGTTTATTAAGAAACTAGACTCCTCGAGACTTGTGAAACAGCATGATTCCACTAAGTATGAATGCAAAATAGGTGGATCTCCAGAAATCAAAGTCACCTGGTACAAAGGTGAAACCGAGATCCAGCCCAGTGAAAAATACAGAATGTCCTTTATGGATTCGGTGGCAGTCATTGAAATGCACAACCTCAGTGTCGAAGACAGTGGTGACTACACTTGCGAAGCTCGGAATCTGGCGGGTAGTGCAAGCACCAGTACCTCACTGAAAGTAAAAGGTCAGAATCCCAGTTCTTTCCTTACCTTTTTATCTATATGAGTCCTCCTTTGTGGAAAAGCTGTTAAATCCTGCTTTCTTTAGTCAGAGGGGCCAAAACCCATTTGAGTGGATGGCAAATGTCTTGCCTGTTTGTTATGCTGTGGGAGATCTTTCTTACTTATGGCTTGTCTTTGCTGTTCGTGATCAGAATGGCTGCTTGAATAGTCTGTCCTCTTTAATCTCCTTTGCTCGAATAACACAAACTTTAACCTCTTTTTTTTTTTTTTCCAGCACCTCCCATTTTTACGAAGAAGCCCTATCCAGTCCAGACCTTGAAAGGGTCTGATATTCATCTGGAATGTGAGCTTCAGGGCACTCCTCCATTCCAGATTTCATGGTATAAAGACAAACGAGAAATTCGGAGCAGTAAGAAATATAAGGTCATGTCTGAGAACTACCTGGCTAGTATTCACATTCTCAGTGTGGATACTGCAGATGTCGGTGAATATCACTGTAAAGCTGTAAATGATGTGGGAAGTGACTCCTGTATTGGCTCTGTAACGCTAAGAGGTTTGTATAAAGATTAGCACCTTCTTGGCATTTCATTGTTCCTGTCATTCTCCTCCTACTTTTCCACTCCTGGTGTGTTTTTTTACTGTTAAATATCTTCTCTTAAATAGCACCACCAACCTTTGTGAAGAAGCTGAGTGATCTCACTGTTGTAGTTGGCGAGTCGATTGAACTACAGGCTGCGGTAGAAGGATCACAGCCCATTTCTGTTCTGTGGTTAAAAGACAAAGGGGAAATCATTAGAGAAAGTGATAATCTCTGGATCTCCTATTCAGAAAACATTGCAACTGTGCGGATTGGAAATGCAGAACCAACAAATGCTGGGAAATACATTTGTCAGATAAAAAATGATGCTGGAGTTCAGGAATGCTTTGCCACACTGACAGTACTAGGTTGGTACATGGGTTAAAAACCAATGTATTTTACGATGCTTTAAAATTTCACTTTTGATGATACTAGCAACTATTACATTCTTGTGTTTAAAAATGTGACTTGCATCTCATTGCAGAACCTGCAGTCATTGTAGAGAAGCCAGGCCCAGTTAAAGTTACAGCTGGAGACTCTTGTACTCTGGAATGCACAGTAGATGGCACACCAGAGCTTGCTGCTAGGTGGTTTAAGGATGGTAATGAACTGTCCACTGACCATAAATACAAAATCAGTTTCTTCAACAAAGTATCTGGGCTTAAGATCCTCAATGCGGGACTAGAAGACAGTGGAGAATATACTTTTGAGGTGAAAAACAGTGTTGGTAAAAGCAGCTGCACAGCTTCAGTGCATGTTTCAGGTTAGTTGTCTACTCTTTTTGAGTCACATCTGATTTCTGTAGTTCCTTTACAAAGCCTTCAGATAGCAAACTGTTTCTCATGACTGACAGCCTGAGAGACTCATTGCTTGTGTAATCTTAGGCGTTCTTGGCATGCCACTTTGAAAAGCATCAAGAATAGATGCTTACCTAACTTTTGAGGGGTAGGAGTTGTTGCAAGGGCTTGATTTCTTCAGCTTTAACCTACATGTCTGCTTGTATACCTGGTGCAATACAGTTGCTTATGAAAAAGAACTGTAAAAATAAAAAATGCCCCTCCAGAAGTGTGGATGAAAGCTCCAGCATATCCTTAACCATCAGCTATCTATTTTTCAATTACTTACGTGTGTAAGAGCAGATTGCTAAAGCAGAGATATCAAAAGAAATTTAACTATTATGCATGGGGAACTTTTTGCATTTTAAGCTCCTATATGGTAATTTTTTTTTTTTTTTAAACAAATGTAGATCGTATTATACCTCCTTCTTTCACAAGAAAACTGAAAGAAACATATGGTCAGCTGGGTTCTTCTGCTGTACTGGAGTGCAAAGTTTATGGGTCACCACCTATTCTGGTTTCCTGGTTTCATGATGGACAGGAGATTACCAGTGGAGACAAGTATCAGGCTACCCTTACAGACAATACCTGTTCTCTGAAAGTGAATGGACTTCAGGAATCTGATATGGGAACTTATTTGTGTACAGCTACTAATGTAGCTGGGTCTGATGAATGCAGCGCATTTTTGAGTGTTAGAGGTCAGTATCAATAAGAAGCCAGAGTCAGAGGGCACAAATTTATTTTCAAAAAGACTTCATTCTTTGCTTTGTTACATATTTCTGATTACTGTGCTCTTCATCAGAAATTCAAATGTACTTCTTCTCTGTCTGTTTTATTTGCATGCTTAGAACCACCATCTTTTGTGAAGAAACCTGAACCACTGAATGTTTTATCTGGGGCAAACATAACCTTTACCAGTATCATAAAAGGCTCCTCCCCATTGGAAGTTAAATGGTTTAGAGGTAGTGTTGAGCTTGTACCAGGAGATAATTGCAATATCACCTTGCAAGATTCAATTGCAGAACTGGAGCTGTTTGATGTACATCCACTTCAGAGTGGAGACTACACCTGCCAGGTCTCTAATGAGGCAGGGAAGATTTCTTGCACAACACATCTTTTTGTCAAAGGTTTGTTCAAACTACTGTTTCTTATGATTCTTATTCTTCTAAAAATGATCTCTTGGCTTTAATTTGTTTTCTTCTCATTGTTCATTATAGAACCAGCCAAATTTGTGAAGAAGGTGAACGACTTAAGTGTAGAGAAAGGGAAAAATTTAATCTTGGAATGCACATATACAGGTACTCCACCAATTTCAGTGACATGGAAGAAAAACGGAGTAAAAATTACACACTCTGAAAAGTGTAGCATCACCACTACAGAAACATCTGCCATACTGGAAATCCCTAGTAGCAGACTAGAAGATCAGGGGCAATATTCTTGTCATATTGAAAATGATTCTGGACAAGATAATTGTCATGGTGCCATCACAATACTAGGTGCGTCAAGCTACCATCACTTCATCAAATGTTATTTGAACTACTAATGGTCATTGTGCCGTACTTTTTTATGTTAATGGTGTGTGTTTGTTCTTCAGAGCCACCTTACTTCATCAAACCCTTGGAACCAGTGCAGGTGACTGTTGGGGATTCTGCATCTTTACAGTGCCAGGTTGCTGGAACACCAGAAATGATTGTATCGTGGTACAAAGGTGATACAAAGCTGAGAGGAACTGCTACTGTGAAAATGCACTTTAAGAACCAAGTTGCCACTCTAGTTTTCAGCCAGGTAGACGGTAGTGACAGCGGGGAGTACATCTGCAAAGTAGAAAACACTGTTGGAGAGGCTGCTTCCTCATCTTTGCTGACAGTTCAAGGTGAATATTTCGTTTTTAAAAAATGAAGGAAAATGACCTATTTTTCTTAAGCATGCTTTAGTATTTAAAAAAAAACAAATATCACGTTTTCCTTGTTAAATGCTTTATTGTTTCTTGACGTGTAAGATACTCTGTGGCACTGTCTTCTATTAGCAAAGGCCTACCAGTAAAGCTAATCGAAATATGTCTCTTACTGGCCACAGCTCTTCTGTAGGTATACAAGCTCCTGCATCTTTCTTACCTATTGAGGATGTTGCTTTGATTGCTTCCACCATTAGCGGTCCTGCAGGTTAAATAGACTTACTGGGTGTAACTAAAGGCAGGATGTTTATATATTTTCCTGCAACCATATGCACAGTGCTCTTTTCTCATCAGGTTCCAAACAAATGATATGCTGAATAACATTTAAAATCAGAAGTTATGAGCAAAAACCTAGCATACTCTACCGAATACCAGGCAGTGATTGTTGGTGAATACGATAGGTGTGAATCTTCTGAAAGCCTTCACTGTGCAATACCTGTTTTCTTACAGAGCGTAAACTTCCTCCTTCTTTTACACGAAAATTAAGAGATGTTCATGAAACTGTTGGCTTACCAGTTACATTTGATTGTGGCATTGCTGGTTCAGAACCTATTGAAGTATCCTGGTTTAAAGATGGTGTACCTGTAAAAGAGGACTACAATGTTCACACGTCCTTTGTAGACAATGTAGCAACTCTCCAGATTTTGAAGACAGATAGGAGCCTTATTGGGCAATATACCTGCACAGCCACCAATGCAATTGGGACTACTTCTTCCAGTGGCAGGCTTGTCCTTACAGGTCAGTGGGCTGTGAAATATTTAATGGAAATATCTTAAAACTCACTTTTGCTTTATATATGGATTTAGTATTGTACAAATAATATTTATTTCACAGAGGTTTAAAGCAATGCTTTTTGTTTCTTTCACTCTTCAGAAGGGAAGACTCCTCCATTCTTTGACATTCCAATTACACCTGTGGATGGTATTCTTGGAGAAAGTGCTGACTTTGAGTGTCACATTTCTGGAACACAGCCTATTAGGGTCACTTGGGCAAAAGATAACCAAGAAATCAGAACAGGAAGAAATTACCAGATCAGTTATGTAGACAACACAGCCCACTTGACCATCTTGACAGTTGACAGGGGAGACTCTGGAAAGTATACATGCTATGCTAGCAATGAGGTTGGAAAGGAGTCTTGCACAGCTCAACTGACTGTTAAAGGTACTGAATATATAATACATTGTGTGTGTATTTTTCTTCCTTTAATTAGAAAGGAAGCTAGCCTTATTGCTGCAAGATAAGTTTGAGAAAAACTTTCGAGATATAGCTTGAAAGTACCTATCTAGAAATAGCCATAGAAAGGGTCGCTAACAGCAATGGGAGGAGAAATGAAAGAATATTTTCTTTGGCCTAGTTTCTATACAGGCTTTAGCCTATTTCTTTCTTGAGAACTCAACAAAAATCTTGGTGTTTTTTAAATGGTATTTGACTTAAATCAATGTAAGAGGATTTTTTTTTTTTCAAATAGGAAAACCAGCTATAACAGTTACTGTAAGAGCAAGACACCTGCTGTTTATCTTGGCATACTTTCACTTAAAAAAAATAATATTTTAAATGAGGGCAAATATCAATTCCCCAATGTTAAAATTTTTCTTGAAGCATTTTCTTTAGAATTTTTCATTTCAGGTTTGATTCATAGAATTTGAATAACATGTTCTTTTTTTACAGAACGAAAAACTCCACCTACTTTTACCAAGAAACTGTCTGAAGCTGTAGAAGAAACAGAAGGAAATGAACTTAAACTTGAGGGCCGTGTTTCTGGCTCTCAACCTTTGACTGTTGCTTGGTATAAAAACAATCAGGAAGTTCATTTAAGCCCTCATTGTGAAATATCTTTCAAAAACAATACCTTACTTTTGCATATAAAAAGCGTAGAGCAGTCAGATGCTGGTTTATATACATGTAAAGTGTCCAATGAAGCAGGAAGCGTATTGTGTACATCATCTGTTGTTATCAGAGGTTAGTTGAAGTCTTATTTTTCTTTGCTTCTTACATTTTTTTGCTGTATGTTAGCTGCAAATATAAAGCTTCTGTCTTATGAGCTGGCTTTACTTACCTTAATGGCAGTAATTTGTCCTGAAATGGAAAAGATAAAACTGAGTTGAACCACAAAATCAAGGAATTCTTTTAGTTTTGTGATTTAAATAAAACTATTTTTCAGGGTGAGACTTCTTTACTTTTTCACTATTTGCTATGACTGACCTAAGGGAACATTGAAATCTTTGTGCAATGTTTCTGTTGAATTTTTAATCATTCTTTTTTCATGTGGCAACCATTTTTCTGTGCAATTACATCTAAGCTTGGGCAGCCTTGACAGTATGTTGTGGCAGGATGGCAATTGATCATAATACTCCTGCAGGAGATGGCATAATTGTTTCTTTAAATGTGCTTATAAAGTTTTGCAACCTAACAGCAGTACTTGAGTTCTTATACTATTTTTTTGCATGTGAATGTTCTTGCTGCGTGGAGAAAAGATATTTCTTGCATGTTTGCATAGAAAATATACTCTCTTCATATTTATTCCATTTTCTAAAACTATAATTGACATTCTCAAACTTCTGTTTATCTTCCTTCATTCCTTGCCATTGTCTTCTTAAGAATCACACATATCTCTTTTTAGCTTACATTCTTAATCATACTTTCCTTCCTTGAGTATTCACTCAAGCATTTTCATATTCCAGAACCTAAAAAGCCTCCAGTTTTTGACCAGCCCCTTCAGCCAGCAGCAGCAGAGGAAGGGGATACCCTACAGCTCAGCTGCCATGTACAAGGATCGCAGCCAATCCGGATTCAGTGGTTGAAGGCAGGGAGAGAAATAAGAGCTTCAGACAGATGCAACTTCAGCTTTGCTAATGGAGTAGCTCTTCTGGAACTTGCTGCAGTTACCAAATCCGATTCAGGAGAATATGTATGCAAAGCTTCAAATGCAGCTGGCACTGATACTTGCAAATCTAAAGTGACAGTTAAAGGTACAGTAACGTGGAGAAAATTAAGGCGTATGATGGAAATTTAAAACAAAATTCCATCCTGCCTTGTTTTCTGTTAATTAACTAATAGCAAACAGTTAGTATCTTTTAGTTCTTTGCAAAACTGTACAATCTGGGAAGGCAGTATATTAACAATAATTTATATAGAGAGACATGAACAGTGGGAGATCAGTGTCAAATCAATAGTATATTCGTACCAAAAAGAGTAAGAATTTAATTTCTAAATCTGAACACTAAAATTAAGAAAAATGCAAGCCAAATGAGTGAAATTACTTGGACATGCATATTTTATGGAAAGGATGGGAACAGTGGTATTTATTAAAGGACAATGCAAAATGAACTTGATTAAGCATGTGGCCTTAGAGGGGAATTGCTTCAGGACCATTACAACTGTAAGATATTTTGACCTTTTAATTGAAAATAAATATTGTCTAAGCAAGAGTCCTTCCATACAGGTCTTGTTTTACTATTGCATAAAAGACATAAGAGTTCAGTAATGTGTAGAAATAGTATCTTTTTTTTCACAAGGTTAAGAACTACTCAAAAGAAAAAAAAAATAAATTTAACAGATCACTGATAAAAAAATGCAAATAACTCTGAGGATGAAATTTCCAGAAATGAGAATACCTCACTAAAAACTGATCCATTTTAGAAAATGAGGTTTCTTATTTGAATATCCATCTATGAATTTGCATCCATGCAGAATATAAATGACCTGATAAGCGAGTGAACAGCACAATGTGGCCCACACTGTTCAGTTTCATGTGGAAAGTAAAATACAAGTTAATTAAACCAATATGAAATTATTTTGCATTTTTATCTCTTGCTTAATATTTTGTTACATTTATGTAATTAATTCCTTTTTTACATTTCCCTTGGAAGCATCACACATGAACATAAGCTATTACATGAAATCATCTGTTTTAATTATTTGACTCTTTTTAGAAAAACCAGCAGCTGCAGCAGCACCTAAGAAAGCAGAATTGGAAGGAAAGCTTTATTTTGTGTCAGAGCCTCAGAGTATCAAAGTCATGGAAAGTAAGAACTCTTTTTTGAAAAGTACATTGTCTTCTATTTGCCCATACCTTTTGTTTGAGATGATGTCTTGCTGTCATAGACAGCTGGAAAGTCTTAGCTTCCTCATTTGCATCTTTCTGCAGAAACTGTTGCAACATTTATTGCAAAAGTTGGAGGAGACCCGATTCCAAATGTTAAATGGATGAAGGGAAAATGGAGGCAACTCAACCAGGGAGGTCGCGTTATAATCCAGCAGAGAGGAGATGAAGCCAAACTAGTAATAAGGGATGCAATAAAAACTGATTCTGGCATGTACAAATGTGTAGCTTTTAACCAACATGGTGAAATCGAGAGGAGTGTAAACCTACAAGTTGAAGAAAGAAAGAAAGAAGTTGTTGAAGGAGATCTCAGGGCAAAACTAAAAAGGTATATGAAAAGTTTTTATAGATTAATTTGCCATCAACACAGAAGAAATATTTTTTGTTGTATATCACAAATCAAGATATAATTTTTTAATAGTCATTAAATGTGAATGACTGTGCTAAAAATAGAAGCACCTGAATAGACTAAACTAGAGAATTCCACTGCACAGGGCAGCTCTATGCTGATTAAGTTTTTCAGTGAACGACTTTCTAGAAATGAAGCATCGTATATCTAACTTATGTCATTGATTTGAATAGCACTCCAACAAAAAAGAAGGAAGAAGAGGAGGAGCAACCTATTGATATCTTGGAACTTCTCAAAAATGTAGATCCCAAAGAATATGAGAAATATGCTCGCATGTATGGAATTACAGATTTCCGTGGCCTCCTGCAAGCCTTTGAGTTACTAAAGCAAACCCAAGCAGAAGAAAGCCATAGATTGGTAAGCTACAGCGTGACTGCAGCATTGGCTTTGTTAGGAGTAACATGATTCCTTTGAACAGACTTGGAGCCCACGCTCTGATGTTACTGTGTGTGAAGGAATTTCTGGTTCCTCCGTAGATCTTTTACTGACAGTTCTTGATTTCTTGCATGCTCGAACCCAAGAAGAAGGAATGGGCCTTATGGCCAAAGATGTTCTGTCTTCACAACTTGGCTGCAATTTTTAAGATGGGAAGATACACTAGTTACAGTACAGTTAAAGAAAATTTGATGTAGGAGCTAATTCTATGTTGGATAAACATGACAGGTTGATGTTTAGAATCCTTTAATCTTTGAGTATATTCTGCCTTCTCACAGGAAATTGAGCTTGCAGAAAGAGCTCGAAGAGAAGATCAGGAGTTTGATGAACTTGTAGCTTTTATTCAGCAACGACTCTCACAGACGGAGGTAACATATTTTTGGACTGATTTGTGAAATATTCAAACTCATAACAAGGAACTTGAAACTAATTTAAGCTAATATTTTTCAGCCCATTACTCTGATCAAAGACATCGAAAATCAGACGGTTTTAACAGATGAGGATGCTATCTTTGAGTGTGAGATTAAAATTAACTATCCAGAAATTAAACTTTCATGGTACAAGGGAACCCAGAAACTTGACTCCAATGACAAATATGAAATTAGAATTGAAGGTGATCGGCACATACTGAGAATCAGGAACTGCCAACTTGAAGATCAGGGAAATTTCAGAATAGTGTGTGGACCACACATTGCCAGTGCCAGGCTAACTGTGATTGGTAAGTGTACTTTTGAAGTATGTATTTGAATTAATTTACACTTTAATTATTCCACTGTCTGATGTCTGCTAAAATGTATGTTTTAACATGCTAATAGAACCTGCAGTTGAACGACATCTTCATGACACTACTTTCAAGGAAGGAAACATATGCACGCTGTCTTGTCAGTTCTCTATCCCAAATGCCAAGTCTCAGTGGTATAGAAATGGGAGACCCATTAAGATAGGAGGGAGATATTCAACACAAGTCTCTGACAAAGTACACAAACTCATCATCAAGGATGTTAGAACAGAAGACCAGGGACAATACACCTGCAAGCTTGACAATCTAGAAACAACTGCAGATCTGGCCATTGAAGGTTTGTAAACAGATATAGAAACTCTTTATTACAGTGGTGATAAACAGTTTCTGGACGTTCCATTAACAGAATAAATGAAAATAAAAGGAATTTCTGAAAGAGATATTCCCAAACTTGGAAATGGACTAAACAAGAAATTTTGCTGTCCTTTCTTTTTGAACAATATGTGACATACTTGTGTAAGTTAGTATTTTTAACTAAATCATTACTAATGTCCCCTGGCCCTCAAACAATCTGAGTCATACTTGCTTTTATTTTCTTTTTCTTTCATATTCTTATATTTTTCTTGGATTTTCTCTTTTTCTTAATTATTCTTTAATTTCCTTGGTGGCTTCTCTTGTTTCATTTATCTGCACAGCAATCTTGTTATAGTTGTACTCTTATGTCTTCTGCTCTTCACTCTTACATGGAAAACTTCATAGAAGATGGAATCCCTTTTCGTCGATCTACTTTTTCAAGATCTATTGTTATTATCTATTATTATAATCTAGCTATTATCATGGAAAAAAAAATGAGAAGGGATTAACAATTGGTATATTTTTTTGTCTCTAAAAACAGCGGAACCAATTCAGTTCACAAAGAGCATACAGAACATTGTAGTGAGTGAACACCAGTCTGCAACCTTTGAGTGCGAGGTGTCTTTTGATGATGCAGTTGTGACATGGTATAAAGGCCCCACTGAACTGAGAGAGAGTCCCAAGTACAGCTTCAGAAGTGAAGGTCGCTGTCATTATATGACTATTCACAATGTTACTGCAGAAGATGAAGGTAAAAATTCATGGAATAGTTGTGCTGATGCCATTCCTTTATCTGATTTTGTCGTTTTTTTTAATGATAAAGGCATATAAATACCAACATTCTTGGCTATTGCAGGTGTATATTCTGTAATTGCTCGTCTTGAACCAAGAGGAGAAGCAAGAAGCACTGCAGAGCTCTATCTAGTAACCAAAGGTTAGCAAATTTGCTAAATAACTTTGTGATAATAGCCATCTACAAGTTTGTGTTTGAAACATGATTCTGGAAAAAGAAATAGTTCTAAAAGAAATCTAATATTCTTTTGCAGAAATCAAGCTGGAGTTGAAGCCACCAGGTAAAGATCATGAGCAAGACTGGCACAAGATCATGTCTATACTCTGTCGTAGATTTAGTGCAATGCTCTGCTTTAGTTTTTCTAATTTCAAAACTTCTTTTCCTGGTTATAGTGAGTCAAACCTGCACCCCAAAAAAAGTATTCCTCATCCATAGATACAAGGAACTATTTATTCTCATAAACAGTGACAATGAATACTGTGATAACTCCAAAATCAGTGATATTAATCTGTCTAGTGTCCTATTGTGTACAATGTGGGAAACCACATTCTCTAGAACATAAAAGTTTAGTTTTGTTTGAATGACTGAGGAATAGGACAATGAAGAGGTACCAATGAATAGATTTGATGCCCTCTGCACAACTGAAAAATACAATCAAGGAGGCAAAATGGGTAGCAATTATCTCCTCATGATACATAATGATCTTTTCTGAATGTTCTTAAGAGCCTACTCTAAAATTATGCAAGAATTATTTAGAAATAAAATTAAACAATATAGAGTCTGCCTAGACTGAAACATGAATGCGATTAGTTATCTATTGGTCAGCTAGCTTATTCTTGAGGAGCAAGCTACAATCCTTGTATGCTAGAACAGAAAGATTTAAAGCATCATGAAATATTATTCTTGGGTGTAGCATATTCAAATCTTTTTTTTAATTATTATTAAATCAATTAAACATTTGATTTTCTAGATGTTCCTGATGCTAAGGTTGCAGTTCCATCTCAAAAACCAACTGAAGGTAGGGTAACAAATCATACTTGATCCATAGTGCTGTTTTATACTTCATTGAAGCATCAGGCCAGCGGGAACCTCAGAGAAAAATCTTAGGTGGCTCAGTGACAAGATCTAGTTAACTATCTCTGTACAAATATGATATGAGCAAGGCTTGGCTTGGATAGGCTTTTTTTTTGCTGTGTGGAAGGTGAAAACTACCACAGGTAGTGGCAGGAATGAAGCCTTTTCTCTTAAAAAGAGTTTGTCCTTTCCATCTTGTTTTCCTATCAGTCTCTTCTTCATTTCATCTTCCTTTTACTTCCATTTTTTCCACTTTTTCTTCTTTTCACCACAGAAATATTTTTTTAAACAAGCTGTCTGAATTACTAGCCTTTGGAGGAAAGGGGGAGGAGGGGGGAAGGAAAACAAAATATAAATATTCTTTTAAAGCCATACATTGGATTGCATGTTTATTGCAAATGGTGTCTCTCCAGGCTCTGGTGTTGGACTACAGACTATGAACCTTACATATATTTCCATTTACATTCAGTAGTTTACTATGAACTTCAGAATTTCAATCTTCTTGATTTAATTTCCAGGATAATTTGATAAATGCTTGCAGTGGCAGCAGGAGGAGAAAGATTTGATATTTAGATGAATTATTATCAGCAAAGATAGGAGAGTAATGACAGTAAAGAAAATAAAGCTGGGAAGGGTCAGGGTTCAAATACAGGTAGACTGGGAATTCCCACTTAAGATACATTCTTCCAGCTACAGTAAACTATCAGAATGAGTACCATGTTTGCTTTTATTCTGCAGCTGCAATAAAATAATCTCATCTATTTTCCAAATGCGCTAAGATTTTTCTTCATTTACAAGAAAACATCATATTCATATTTTATTCTAAATATTTCATTTTTCCTACAAGCTGCCCCTATTCCTATTCTTCTACCTCTTGTTCCACCACCAGAGGAGAAAAAGCCAGGTAAGAATCTTTAATGTATTTGGATAGTGGGTACATGTTTCATTATGACTGTTGGATTTTTTTTTTTGGTTTTCATTTCAAATTTTAAAATACATTGTTTTTAAGCAGAAAGAAAGGTTCCATTAAAGAAAGTCCCCAAAAAGGTGGTTAAAAAAGGTCCTGAAGAAGTCCCACCACCTAAAGGTAACTTTTTTCCTTTTGTAAAAAAACTTTTTAAAAAATAGTAGAATTACTGTGTGGAAACAAGACAATTTGTTTCAAATTACCTTGAATCAATCAAATTAGTTTGATTTTTGTTTTTACGTGCCATGGTTTAACCCGGCTGGCAACGAAACATCGTGCAGCTACTCAGTCAGCCTCCCCCACCCCCAGGGAATGAGGAAGAGAATTAAAGGGCAAAAGGGAAGGAGACTCATGGGTTGAGATAAGAACAATTTAATAATTAAAATAAAATTAAATTAAAATCAATAATTATAAAAATAATAATAATTAAAATTATAATAATATATAAAAACAAGTGATGCTCAGTGCAGTTGCTCAACACCCACTGACCAACGCCCAGCCCAGCCTCAGGTAGTGATCTCAAAGAAGAGAGATCCCAAAACCACAATCCTGGAAGAGAGAGATCTTCCTGGCCAATCCTCATCTATATACTGAGCATGACGTTTCATGATACGGAATATTCCATTGGCCAATTTGGTCATCAATGCCAAGCCTAAACTCAAATCCTAAACTAGGAGTTAGGTGTCCGTTGCTCCGACTATGCTCCCTCCCAGGTTCTTGTGCAGCTGCACACTGGCAAAACATGGGAAGTTGAAAAAGTCCTTGATGTCTCAGCAACAACTATAAACATCAGTATGTTATCGACATTCTTCTCGTACCAAATCCCATACTAAATCTGAAACACAGTGCTATTCTAGCTACTAAGAAGAAAACTAACTCTATCCCAGCCAAAGCCAGGACATTATGTTAAAAACATCCACATTTAAAATCCAAGCTGACAAGGACGGCTTAAAAAATAGTCACTTCTTTAAACCGTCTGTGAGAGTGAAGTCACTTCATTAATTGTGAACATTCAATAAACCTTGCAAGTTCCAGGCCATGATATGAATAATCTTTTTTTTTTTTTTTTTTTTTAAGTTCCTGAGGTGCTTCCAGAGAAGCCCAAGGAGATCAAAGTAACATCCATGGCAAGGAGAGAAGAGATTCATGAAGAAAAGAAGGAAATGTATGAAAAGCCCAAAGAAATTTATGAAGAATGGGAAGAAGATTATGGAGAAGACCATGACTATTATGTCAAGGAAGAAGGCTATGATGAAGAGGAAGAGGAATGGGAAGAAGCTTATGAGAAAAGAGAAGTGACTTATGAAGAAAAACGAGTCATTCATGAAGAAGGTATTTTAATTATCATACCATTTTATTTCTTCTCTTTTCTCATATTTATTATTAAGGCTCAAAAATTTTGAGCCAGGCAGCATTTTTGAGAATTTCTTTTCGTTACAATAATTTGAACTTCAATATGCTGCCAAGTTTTAACTGACACTTCAGGATCAGACAAAGACATTTTTATAACCTAATACAAGTTAGTAGTTTGTAAGGATATATGTCATTTTTAGTTGGTTTAGAGACTTCTTTATCATTTTCATGTATTCTAGATATACTTGATTTAGGTTTAATGTTTCACACATTAATTGCTTGATGTTCATAGCTGTACTTTGCAATTCTTTGCATGTTTTAATTGTCTTGAGTAGTAGTAACATGTATGCCTCTAGGAACAGAATTTAGCTCTGATGAGAAACCGTCACACTTGGAAATAAGCAGAAAATTTCACTATAACAATTGGATCTCCAAAACTCTGTGTTTTTCAACTTCATAAACTTATAATGGCATAACTAATAACTTTTGTGTGTATCAACCCTTTAGACAATGTATTTTTCATCATTAAACAATGTAATTATTTTTAAAGTTGTTGAAGTTCCTAAGAAGCCTGTGCCTGAGCGAAAACCACCAGCAATTACAGCTGAAAAGAAGGAAAAGAAAGAAGTAACAGTTCATAAAGGTATGACTTCCCTGCAAAACTAACAGGAACATACAGATTAAGATCTCCCATGTATCTCCTTCAAGCTGAACTGTGGTGGTTATTCACATTTCCTTGAAAATTAGAGAATTTTCTTTATGCTGGACCATGACATGAGCAAGGCTTGTGGCAACCCTTCCTCTTGTCCCACCTCGTATTTTCAAGCAGAGAGAGAATAGTGGCAATGGTGGTTGACGCAAACCAAGAATTGCTGGCAAAATCAAACTGAGCTATGGTTATCTAGGTGCACGAAAGTTATGGCATCCTAAACAAGAAAATAGCCAGTTCTACCTAGGTGGTGTCCAGAAAATAATTTACAAGAAGATATAAACAAAAACTATGTCTAAATCACTTACAGTTGTCAAGAAACCTGTCGATGAAAAGGTGGAGATAACCACTCAGAGGGTTGCAGAAGAAAAAGTCAAACGGGCTGAGGGTAACTACTGTTTAATTACCTTAATGTCATCTTTGCATGAAAGTAGTGGTTTTTATTACTTAGCTGATCTCCATATGCTTTGTCTTCATTTAACATGGGTCTGATCAATTTTCAAGTCTTTGAAACATCTAATAAAAGCTTCTGCTGAATTGTATAAAAGGAAGATGAAAGCTTTTCAGGGGAAAATACTAAATGTAGACACTAACTACCAATGCTTTAAGAAAGGAAGAGTGTTCAAAATTACGCTTGGTGAAAAGGTATGTTTCACTCTAAGCTGAAGATGTGAAATCCCTGTCTCCCTCAGATTTCCATCTTGACCTTTCTGCCAGGATGTCTTGGTTAATTGTTCAGTTATGAAATAAAGATTCATTTTTGTTCTCTTGCTAACCACCTCCTCTTGTATAGCATTTCCCATTCTGCAGCAGGAGTTTATTGACTGCAGTTCAATATATGTCAGGATATGACCTGTGTGCTAAACACTCTAAGTGACCCAGCACCTTCAGAAAGTAGCAAAAAAAAGAAGCTTTGTGTGGTTCCAACAAGCATGACAAGTACTGAGTTAGACTATGCTGGTCTTGTTTGTTGTTTTTTCAACATCATTGCTAGATAGCTGTGGACTTATTTTGATCTCTTTGTTAAGTATATGACAGAGTAACAAAATTTTAATGCCAACAGTTACCAAGAAAGTTCTACCACCAAAACCTACACCAAAGATCATTGAGGAAAAAGTTATCAAAAAGGAAGGTACAGATCAGCATCTTTCAATTGCAGTTTGCATTTTTTCCAGCTCACTGTGTGTTCTCGTGCTTTTTGTGGATATGTGGGCCTGTGTGTATGTACTCAAATCTATTTATTGTAGTAGTCATGCTGTGACTACTCTTAGTGCTTAAATAGTATGTGTACCACACTTTTACCTTTCATAAAGTCTGTTTTTAACATCTTTGTGGCTAACCTTTTGATTCTTGTTTAAACAGCCTACAGGATATTAGAGCGCGATTTAGCTTTTTCTTCATTTATTCTGCCTGCTGGCCTATACTTACGCAGTAATGTCCCAATGCCTCAAAATTTCTTTGAAGAACCAGCTTTGGAATTCTTCTGATGTACTATTTCCAAAAGCCTGTGTATGCATTTATTTTAAATTTTGGGTTAAAGGTGTCTGTGTCTTTAGTCTTTAACAGATACTAAATATTGTACTTGTATGCTTGTTTTGCGTTCAGTATTTTAGAATATGAATACTGACTGTCTAAATATGTCTAAGACTTAAATGTACAATACAGATACAGATTTGATAGAAACTCACATGCTGACTACCACTAATGTGGATCTAGAATATAAAATACTAAACCAAAATCCTATCTTTAAAGTACCGACAGTAGAAACGTGGACTGTTTCAGAAGAAAAGATGTCGGTTTCTGTCCACAGAGAAGAAGAGTATTCATATGTCACAGGTATGTACAAAATCAAAAATCTGTGCACCCAAATCAAAACAATCTTTCAATCCCACTAGATTTTATTTTAATCTATTTTTATGTACGACAAATTACATATTTAGACATATCATATATTTGTCTTTCAATATGCATTGCTTCTTTTGTTCATTGTTATGTAGCCTCAGTTTTCTTTAGAATAATAGATGTCAACATTTCAACTATTTTATCTTAACATTGTTTAAATGCTTTTCTTTGAAGAGCCAACAGAGCATGAGAAAACAGTTGAAGAAAGATTCTTTGAAGCTGTTTACCCAATTGAAGGTAGATTGATTAAGAATCAGAGGCTAATCAATATTTAAGATTTTTGGAACAATTTGAATCTATAGTTAATCAAAACTCATTGTGAGATTTTCACATTGTTGGTTTTCTGGATGAAATTTTTTTTTACATATTATCATGTGTGTTTCAGTGACCTTTGTGTACTGGACACACATAAGATCTTCTTAAAAGCTTTTCAGATTTACTATGGACATCGATATTTCCTATCTCCAAATTTAATATCTTTAAAATTCCTATTGTAGCACATAAGGAAGTCGAAGAGGAGGAAGAAGAAGAAGAAGAAGAAGAAGTCATTTCTGCAGAACTGGAGATCTCTCACATTGAAGGTGACCAAAATCTTTCTATCATCATGTGCTCCATTTTTCAGAACTTTCTATGGCTCTACTTTGAAAAATTCAATCCCTATTGCATTTCTAAATCTAATTCTTCTCCATCATGGCTTTAAACAGTTCTTTGAACAGCTTTTTTTTTGAGATAAGCATATTGCTTGATAAAAGAGCATATTTTTTGACATATGGTGTTTGCTTATCCAGCATGTTGATGGTAGCCTACTGTAATTTACTAAATATTTTTACTGTCTTCTAAGTGTTCACCACCTATCTCTTTAAAGTGCCTGATATACCAAAGAGGCCTGTTCCAGAAGAAAGAAAGCCCGTTCCTGTCCCTAAAAAAGAAGCTCCAACAGCCAAAGGTATTTCTACTGCCATAGTAAGAAACAAGAAACAAACAAATTGTCTTTCATTATATTATTTTTCATGTTTTCTTGAATATATTTATGAATTTACTCTGTATGTGGCTTTGGGTTTGCGTTATCTGCATACGCATTATTTGATTTAGCGTTATCTCCATAATTTCTTTTTTTCGTTTGTGCTCTAGCTTGGCTTACAGTTTGCATTTGTCTCAGTTTAGCCCTTCTCTTTTCCTAACCATCGTGTGTTTGTTTGTATTTAGGTTGTGTAGCTTTTGCAGACAAGGGTAGGGTGTTTTTATTTCAATAGAGTGCCATGAAAAGTGATAGTGCAAAAATGTTAACATTGGAATTTTATACTGCGTCGTAGTGTCTTTTCCATATAGTCCATTGTATGTCCAAAAGGTTGTACATTGTACTGTGTTGCAGTGCCCAGCTCCTTGTCCAGAAGCTATCTTTTATAAAGCAATCTTAGATTACTGAAATTTGCATAAGGGGTCCAAAAGCTAAAGCTCTCTCACTTTGACAATGTTTTCCAAAGTGCCTGAAGTCCCTAAGAAACCTGTTCCAGAAAAGAAAGTTGCTGTTGCTAAAAAGGAGGTGCCCCCCCCAGTAAAAGGTACAGCATCTTTTGAATGTCGACTTTAACCAGTCCTGTACTATTGCACTGCTTTCCTAACTACTGTTCACCTCTCAGTATAAGCACATGATAAATACAGTCTTTGTGTGTTGTGTTGTATGTTGGTCATCTAAGACAAACTCAAAAGCTTTAGAAAGATTACTTAAACAAATTTTAATACCTTTAAAGTTCCTGAAGTGCCTAAAAAACCTGTGCCTGAAGAAAAAGTACACATTCCTGTTCCCAAAGAAGAACCTCCACCTGCCAAAGGTATACTTAGTGATGGAGCGTACATGTACCTGTTGGATATCTTTTTTGTTGTTGTTGTTGTTAGCCTGTATGTAAAGATGTTTATGTTAGAAATTGATTTTTTATGTATAATTCTCTTTGTGTATATAACAGTTTTTAAGGTCAGATAACATACTTGAGCAGCTCTTTCTTCAGTTAAGAAATCAGTCTTAAAACACTTCATAGGCTTCCAGAGACTGATTTGATTTTTTTTTTCCCCAACTATGTGTTGCTCTTGTCTCATACCTTTCTATGTCAAGTGTTTGAATATGTTATGTGGTGTGTCTTGATATTCTTATAAATGGATTAATGAAATTCTATAATACTCCAATAATCTTTGAAACACAGAATTCAATTATCTTACATTTTATCTTTTTTAAGTGCCAGAGATGCCTAAGAGAGCTCCCTCAGAGAAAAAAATTGCTGTTCCGAAAAGAGAGGAGGCTCCACCATCTAAAGGTACACTTAAATAAACAATCTTTTCTTGTTATCTTAAGCATCTTGTTTATGTCCAATTTTGGTTTTGATTGTTAAGGGAATCTGGTTTTAATTTACTTCAGTTACATCATCTATGTATCTTTTGTGTCAGTTTTGTGGATAATTGTGCTATAGATACAATCTTAAAACATCTGTAATTTTAGTTACTTAATATTATTACAATTTGTATCTCTGAAGTGCCAGAAGTACCTAAGAAACCAGCTCCAGAAGAAAAAATACCACATGTTGCTAAAGTAGAAGCTCCACCTGCAAAAGGTACAATATTGTTTACTGTTATATAGTCTATTTTAGTCTTTAGAACACTGCATTTGTCTCAGCTTGCTCACTATTGTGTTTTGTAAGAAAAATATGTCCATCTTTTTGAATTATACATTTCTGTTATGTGATGCTTTTGCCAGTTTTACACTTTATAGGTCCTAAAACCAAATACTTTTTTTAAGTGCCTGCAGTTCCTAAGAAACCTGTCCCTAAAGAAGTCTCTCCTGCTGTTCCTAAAAAAATTGAGGCTCCTCCAGCCAAAGGTATGCTTTCCAGTAAAATGAAAGAATATGCTGTTTCTCAGTTTCTGTTTATATGTTCTGTATTGTTATCAGTCATTGATTTGTGCTTCCCCTGTGAGTTCTACTGTTCTGATTTAGTGACAATGAATCATTACAGTATGTTGTATGTGTTGCGCAATACTTCTAAAAATATTATTTCTAAATATTGAGTCTCTGTTATGTGTTATGCTTTATGTGCTCAGTACCCTTAAGCAATTTGGAAACTTAAATTTAGCATTACTTTCACAATGGAATTAGAAAAGAATGCATATAATATCATTATCTTTCAAAGTGCCTGAAGTGCAGAAGAAAGCCACTTTTGAAGAAAGAGTACTTATTACAGAAGAAAGAATATCTGTTGCCACTACAGAGGAAATCTCACCACCTGAAGGTACACTATAAACAGACAAACAGACAACAGTGAGAAACTTGTGATTTGTCTACAAGTCTGTTATTCTAAGACCAAGATCAAAATACACAAAAATTTTGAGTTACTTATTTTGTATGAGTTTTGTGTTGAACATTTTATAGAATTACAGGCAGCTAAGAACCTCCTGAATGCCATTTACCATTTCAATCTTAAATGCCAGGATCCCACCCCATTGACATAAATGAAAACTCTACCACTGAATATAATGATCTTCAGAGCAGGCTCTCATGAAATCATAGTAAGAAGTATGGATGTAGAGTGTTGAGATTAGCTTCCACTAATTAGGACTGTAACCATCTATTTGTCATACTCCTTGCAAAGCTCTTTGTGACCCTGCAGATAACAACACTATTTCTCTCTGCAGTGTTAGCTCCTCATTAGCTCTTTTAGTTCACATTCTCATACTCAGAGAAGGTTGAGATCAGTTGTTTTAAGTTAGCATAATTCCACAAAATATCTGCTTCAAGATAGCTGAAATCAACATTTTTACATCCCATTAATAACTAGCCAGTCAAGACAATTTACATATTCTATTAAAAAAGTGTAAATGAGTTTTTAAAACAGTTATGGAAGTAATCTAAAATATGAACATGCAAATATATATTCACACGGTTACGTGCAGTGTTAATTTCTGTTTGTCTCCTGCAAATTAACCATTTACCCCAGAACAAGTTGATGTTCTTGCTCATACAGTCACATTTGTAGATGTGCACATGCCAGACTTTCAATTCTTGACCTACCCTTCTTGTCTTCTTCCTGTCCTTACTTTAATGTAGCTGGATCAAGGAGCAACCTCCAACTCTTTGAGTGTTGTGTCCCCCCTGTCAGCTGTTGTGATGGGGAAGTTTGGGGAACCGAGGCATTCTGATGGACTGACAGTTGACCAGTGAAGGATATTTGAGAGATACAACAGTACACAATAGGGTACATGGGGCATGGACAAAACACATCATTTAGAGCAAATCATACATATGTGTGTGCACAGCACTTTCTGTATTGTATGCATATCTGTTATTGTCATGTAGAACTTGTAAGAATTGGTCTTCATCTTCTCCATCCATTGATCTGTTCCTCATTCCCTCCCTCCTTTTATCCATCCATCCATCCATCAGAAATACTAAACCAAATAATTTTCTTTAAAGAAGCAACAGTTGAAGAATGGGCTGAAGAAGAAATGGAGGAAGTGTCTATTTCCATTCAGAGAGAAGAGGTTTCTGAAGGTATGACCACAATTCAAGAACACGAGGCACATCTACTCTATTCATAAAAAAAAAAATCTACTACTGTAAAAATATGTTTCATAACTTATAAACTTTAATTCTAAGAATGTCTACAGTTTCTATTAATTGCTTTTGAAAAGTGTAGTAGTTAAACCTGTTTTGATACAGTGAAAATAATTAGGTGTCTCTTGGATGTTGAGAATTATCAACCCTTCTTTTTTTTACAAAAATTCTCTGTTGGAAGTTCCTCTTCCTTCAGGTTGCCTGGATGAAGTGAACGTCCTTCAGAATATCATGATGCATTCTGGTTCCTCAGGCCAATTCTATGTAGAACGACTAAACTGTTGCCACCTGAGAGTTTTTTGGTGGTAACATAATGCTGTGAAGGACAGTAACATACTGTTTGCCTCAATTTCCATTACAAGTGACACCACAGAAAGTATTTTCAAGGGATGGTTTTATCAAGGAATTTTCTTGATAGTTGGGAGAGAGACTGTCAAAGTGAACAAATTCCAACATTAGTGAACTAGTGGAGAGAGGAATGGAAAGTACTGATCTAGTACTTCAAATACTGAACATTTTTAAATTCCACAGAAATGCAAGATGAGAGCTCAATCTCAGTTTCATTTGAGTTGCTTGGAGTTTTTACCTTGGCTTCAGAGGGAGTAGAACGATTTGAATGTAGATTCTGTAGATTCTTCTGAATGTAGATTCTTGGTTTACAAATATTTTGTTGCTTGCCAGAACTGTAAGGACAGTAATAGGAGTCAAATACTTAAACTCAATGATTTTTTTATTTTACTCTTTTTAAGTGTCTGAAGAAGAGTCTTACTACATAGAGGAGAGGGTGACTGTTCCTAAAAGAGAGGAAGCCCCCCCCACTAAAGGTATACATTCTTGTCATTACAAAATATTGGTTGTTTCATCATTCTGAGTGTTATGTTGCCACTATTTGTTTATCTCCATGTGTTTTCATATTGAGAAAATGTGCGCATGTTATAGTGATACTACTCCTCTTGTAAGACTATGTATTGTAATCTTTTAAAGTGCCTGAGAAGCATAGGAGAGTTGTCCCAGAACCTAAAGTTCCAGCTGTCCCTAAGGAAGCTCCAGGAGTTAAAGGTATAAGCCAGTTCTTCATCTGGGTGATCTGTCTTCAAGGGGATTATGTTTGTCTTACTATCTTGTTTGTCGTATGTGTTGACATGGGTAGTGTCTGCTTCCAGTGATAAATGGTTGTCTCATATTCCATCTTGTACTATGAAAAGTGTTGTTTGTGTTAACTCAGTTGAACACGTTGTGATGTAGTAGACAATTACAAATATTATAACTTAATATCTCCCTCATCTTCCTTCTCATCTTACTTATTTTTCTAAAGTTCCTGAAGTTCATAAGAAAGCAGTTCCTAAAGAGAAGGCACCTGTTCCTGTGCCTAAAAAGATGAAGGCTCCACCAGCAAGAGGTATATCAGTGGTTTGTTCCTGTTGCAAAAAATGCTTTATCTGCTGCATGGAGTCTTTAACATATATGCATGTTGATAAAAAATTTATCTATCTCATATATCAAATTTCTTCAACATTGAACATCTACTTATGTCCATTTGTCTACAATGTGGTCCATGTCCTGTGTCATCTTGATGAGATTTATGTGTTATTTGGTCTTTTGTCTTATGCCTGTTGGTGAAATCAATCAAATATTCTAAAGTGGCACAATCTTTTTTAAGAACCTGCAGAAGAACGAGTGCCCACTTTTGAGACAGAAGTTGAAAAACCTCCATCAACCAAAGGTAAACAAACTGAGAATATTATTATCATGGACATTTTTTTGTTTGGCCTTGCAGTGTTTGTGTTTAGGCATTTTACTTAAATAAATTTTTGTTTGTTAGTATCTGTAACCTCTGTCTTGATCTCCCCTTTCTTTTGACTGTTTACTGATCTTTGTGTTATGGCTGTAAAGTACACTCTTCTGCAGTGTTTAATTTTTGTTGCTGTTGAAGTTTACTTAGCATTTTCTTTTTAAAAAAGTCAGATTAAGTAGAAACAACTTAAATATGTCTGCATTCCAAATATTGCAATTAAATATTCTTACACTTACTCTTTTTAAGTGACTGAAGCGCGCAGGAAAATTATCACAGAAGAAAAAGTCGCAGTTGTTAAAAAAGGGGAGGCTCCACCAAAAAGAGGTATATAAATTTTCAGAGCTACACAAGAGAAGTCTTGTTTCAGAATATGACTTATATTTATGTCTAATTGTCTAACACAAGCTGTAATGTTCAGTGTTTGCTGTCTTTTTTTATTTGACTTGAGGAGATGTCAAATTTGCATTCATGTTTCGTCATCTGATTATGTTGATAAACTGTGATTAATTCAAAATCTTTTAAAATAAAGTTGTTTGTTTGTTTGTTTGTTTAAAAATGCCAGCAGTGCCCAAGAAGCCTGTGCCGGAAGAGAAAGTTCTTGTTCCAATTCCACAGCAAGTGGCAGCTCCACCAGCTAAAGGTATACAAGTTTTTTGAAAGTAAAGAAGGCTTCTAAATATCAGATGTCCATGTGTATCATACTCATCATCTGCCTGGTTAATCAAATCCCAGTGTCTCCTGACTTGATTATAAATGAAAAGGTCCTTTGTCTTCTCCCTTGCAAAAGAATGCATAAGGTGACAGAGAACAGTCACACACCTGCATTCCTTCCATTTTCTATCCACTATTTAACTTCATTGATCACTTTGGCTGCTTAAGAGCTTTGGAAAACTGAAAGAAGACATTTACTCAGTGAAGAAGTTAAATAAATATGAGAACATTTAGAAAAAACTATCAATGTTTTATAATATTGTCAATGTTCAGTGAAGGATTTGAAATTTACAAATGTGTCACAGAATCACAGAATCACAGGATGTTAGGGATTGGAAGGGACCTCAAAGGATCATCTAGTCCAATCCCCCTGCTGGAGCAGGACCACCTAGATCAGATCACACAAGAACACATCCAGGCGGGTTTTGAACATCTCCAGAGAAGGAGACTCCACAACCTCTCTGGGCAGCCTGTTCCAGTGTTCTGTTACCCTTACTGGGAAGAAGTTCTTCCTCATGTTTAAGCGGAACTTCCTATGTTCCAGCTTATATCCATTTCCCCTTGTGCTATCATTGGACACCACTGAGAAGAACCTGGCTCCATCCTCATGACAGTCACCCTTTACATATTTATAAACATTAATGAGGTCCCCCCTCATTAATGTGTTTCAGTGATTTTTCTTGTGTTTGAAAAGTGATTTTGTTGTGTATCCTGTATGTGTAGTGTTCTGTAGTTTAGTTACATTTCTGAAAAGCCTAGAGGCAAATTATTTACATCTTACTTTTCTTTCAATCATTCCATCTTACTTCGTGATGCGTGAATATGCTGTTTGTTTTTTGATGTGTTTTGGTCTATAAATCTATTATTGTAGTATTATATGTATTATTTTAGTAGATATTATTTTAATATTTAACTATATTTCTGCTCTTACTAAAATTGCATGATGTTTCGAAGTGTCTAATTTATCTGGGAAATTTATTTCTGGAATCCCCTAAACTAGTAGTCTTCAAAATTCTTAATGCATATCTCGTTACTATGCATTAAAACTTCAGTTGGTCATTTTCTCTGTTAATTTAAGTGTCTTTATGTTTGTATGTCTGGTGTCATTGTTGTGTTTATTATAAGTATCTTTGCTATGTAAATGTGTACTTTTTCTCCATAATTGTTTGTCCATAATTCTTTTGTATGAACTTCAGAAAGTGTGTGATTTCTTTTGGAGTTTAGTATTCTTACAATTACTATCTTTAAAGTGCCAGAAGCACTGAAGAAAACTGCCAGAGAAGAAAGAGTATCCATTGCTGTTCCAAAAAGAAAAGCGTCTCCAACACCACAAGGTACTCCTGCCCATGGATTAATCTGTGAACAACCTGTCCTCATGCAATACAACCAGAGCTTCAAACCTGTTAATCTGGCACCTTTCTTTAAGTTCTAATGTTAGAATCATTTAGGCTGGAAAAGGCCTTTAAGATCATTGGGTCCAACCGCTAACTTAACACTACCGAGTCTACTGCTATGTTCCACCATAATCCCAAGGGAACCTTAACAGAGTCTTTCAGAAACACTAGAGACATATTTTTCCCAATTACTCTGGGTGTGGGACATGTCAGGAAATAACTAGTTTTCTAAGAAACCCCAAACGGGATATTTATTATTCTATATGATATTGCACCAGAGAAAAATATTGATGTTAGACTCTGTCTTTGAAGTACCAGCAGAAGAACAACACTGGGCTGTGTCAGAGGAAGTATCCATTTCTCTTCACACAGAAAAGGAGATTTCATACACAGGTATGAATTAATTAAAAAGATTCTATGTCCAAATTTACATCTTATCATCTACTTGGAAAAAAAAACCCACAAAAGCAAACATAAAAAACCCACAAACAAACAAAAAATCCCCAAAGAAACAAAAAAAACCAACCCAAAACACAGTTTCATGTCCTATGCAGATCACCAGTTTATTCTGAAAGTGAAGCTTGTAGAAAATCACAGGACAGTATTCCATTCTCACAAAAGGCTTAAATCTTCCTCCTGGCTTACTGCTGTTGTCATAGTGGAAGCACAACCATTTCACCAGGTCTTCCTTTGCAAATATTGCCACCTGTCTGACCTTTGAGAGGAAACAGGGCTGCCTTTTCCTTCATTTATATTAACATGCTTTCCTCTTCCGAAAAGAAAGCCTGTCCTTTCCTATCCCGTGACAGCAACTCTTCACCTAAATCTGAAGATCAAAGAAAAAATCTTTACCTCTGCCTAAGTGTTAAGACACTTAGCAAAATCCCACATATTGGACCTGCCTGCTCAAGGGCTTTGAATAAAGCCCACAACTTTGAGAAAAAAATCATTGCTCTATCACTTTTGGAGGAAATCTATTGACTTGTGAAAAATGAGCCACAAGATAGCTCATACTTACTACTTTCAGATCTACTGCTGTTGATAAACAGCATTATCATATTCATATCATGACAGATTAATACAATCACATCAATATGAAGTTAAATAATCTATATAGTCTCTGTATTGGATAATAATGGAGGGGACAGGCAGATCATGAGTACTCAGAGGAGGATGAAAGAGGATCTTTGATTGGCTTTCTGTAAGGCAGGGTAATGCTGGCTGATCTGGAAAAAAAAAAAGGGTCAAAGCAAAAGGGCATTAAATGCAACAGTTCACACATGGGATACCAAATAGAGGTGTTGTAGTTAGGACAAAAGAATATGAAGGAACTTGAGCTTCCTGGAAAGGGCACTCATGCACAATGCAGTTTTTGTTATCAAATCAACCAAAATTACCAATTCAAATCAGTTTTAGTTTAAAATTTCAAATGCAGATGTATCTGGCACTTACAGTTAAATCATACGATCTTACAATCAAGCAGGGCTCTGCCAGAAAATATTTAAAGAGCTGGTCAGTCTTCGCATTGCCCCAAAAATAACACCCACTTAGCAAGCATCAGGACTGCGGCAGCCACTCATCTATACTCACTGTAGCTTGCCATGAAGAAAGCATGCAGAAATTCTCAAACCTGTCACTGACAGAATGGATTCTATCTCTTAAGAAGATCAAAAATGACATCCAATTTGTTAAGAAAATGCCAAAATTATTCTCTAACTTGGCAAGTCTAGTAGTCTCCCTGACGTTAAAATGCTAGGGTAATTTTTCTGTGCAGTTTCCAGTTATATTGGTCAAAAACTTCACAAGACACCTGCCTCAGAAGACAAGACTCATGTAATGCTGTTCTGAAAAAAGAGAATATACTGCTTAAACATAGCATGAATTCTTTCCTGACTAAATCTTAAAACCTGAACATAATCGGATCTTAATCTTTTGGAAATTTTCCTGCTTTTATAGGGAATGGTTCCTTGCCAAGTCTGAACAAACAAGCCACTTTGTAAAGCAATCAACAGAAGAGGAAAAATGCCTTCCTCACTGAGCAATTAGGGTTTTTTTTGCCTTTAATTAGACCAGAGCTCTTATCCATTGTCAGTCACTTACGAAGGTTTTACAAAGGCTTCCTCATCTTCATCTTGAGTTTTCTATGCAAATCTTTTGTTACCAGTGATTGAGAACTCTTGATCTATTACCAAGGTAGTTCAAAGTGTCACTGCTGTGGAGAGAGGCTGCCATGGAGGACAGTGGGATTTAGTGATTTTGTAATTGCTTGAATTTGGATTTTGAGCTTAACTTCACTGCTGTCAGCATTGGATGAAGCAGGAATCATATCAGTTGCTTATATTGGGATCCTGAAATGTTTGTTGTTCCTTAATTGAATAGCAGCCTAATATTTTCCAGAATTACATGTCCAGTGTCAATAAGCACACTTGTCTTTTACATATCAGACATGTATTTGTAAGATATCTTTTTGTGTTTCTTGCCAAGAATATTTTTATTTTTAAACAACAGTTTTAAAAATTCTTAAATGTAAATGTACTGTATCTTTTAAGTGCCTGATGTACCAGAGAGGGCTATCATTGAAGAAAGAGTACCAATTTATCCTCCTAAAAAAATGGCAAGACCACCAGCCAAAGGTATACTGGATAAAGTATTGAAATATGGTATAAATGTTTCTTTGTGTCTTATATGTTCCATGTACAGTGACTACTGATTTGTTTTGTATGGAATGTTCTTCCTTTGGTTTAATTCTTATTTGACGATGCTTTGTGATCCTTATTATTATTAAGATCTATTTGCTAAATTTTAAGATTCTTTTAATTGATATCTTTTTAAGTGCCTGAAGTACGCAAGACAGTTGTCCGAAAAGAGGAAGTGTATGTTGAAGTTCCTCAGTATGAAGAGGAAGAAGAGATTCCAAAATATGAAGAGGAAGAAGCCATCAGATATGAGCAGGAAGTAATCCATTACAAGGAGGAAGTCCACCATTATGAAGAAGTTAGTCACTATGAGGAGGAAGTTCCTCAATACGAAGAGGAAGAAGTCACTCGTTATGAAGAAGAAGCTGCTTATTACGAAGAGGAAGTTCCTGAATATGAGGAGGAAGAGTCAGAAGTTCCCCAGTATGAAGAGGAGGCTCCCCCACCAGTTAGAGGTATACTTTAATTTTAGGATTTGTGTGAGAAAAAGTAGTATCTTTTCATTCCATTAATGTACCAAAGTTTTGTTTTAATATGTTCCAGTGTGCTTTACAGTGTGCCTTTGCAAGATGTTTAATGATTAATATATAGAGTAGAAAATGTGTGATGACTGTATGTCTCCTCTTTGCTACTAACTCTATAAATTTAAATGTTCCCTGTCATACATGTTTATTCCTCTTTCATATGAAGTCTGTATAACCCACTAAGAAAATTTAACTGATCTTTATGTCATCCCCACCTGGGGTCCAGTTTTGCTATAAGACTGTGCTTGGAATACTTAAAAATGTTTATAAGAATTCTGCCATCACAGACAAAAAATATGTTTATCAAGACAATAGGCAAGGTACTCGAAAATAAGTAATTTAGAAACGCAAGTCACATTGGTTTCCTCTCAGAAATCTTTGAAAACCCTATAGTTGTCGTTTATTTATTTCTTGAAGGGAATAATATATTTTCATTAAAAGCAAAGGTATGATGGTTCTATTAAATTGTCATACTTAAATACTCATAGTTTCAGGTGTTTTCCTTAGGAGTAATTTTTATGGGAATAGTGTAAATTTTCAACATTGTTAGTACAGGATGAACACACTATTCACTACTTAAAGAGGACAACTAGGTTATACCAAGATCTTGGTAATAAAGCCTTTCTACATTGTAATAGGAAGATATAGACTAACTATATCCAGTTTTCCAAAGTTACATAATCCTCTAAGAGTGCTTAAAAATTTATATTTTCCAGTCCTGATTGAAATAATTCTATAGTGTCTCTTCCCCAAAAGGTTCAGTATTTCTTTTGACTAATATATGAACAGCAAAAGTATATTTAGCATTGTTTGCACTAGAATTTTGACACATTGATTAGCACGTTTTTCCTAATAAACAAAAGGCCAGAATATACACTGCAAAAGCAAGGTTAATCCTGAACAGGAAGATTAATGACACCTAAAATTCCCTTTGACTCTATCATATTAATTAGATTTAATTCATATGTACTTCCAACTTTCTTCAGTATGCTCAGAGCCAGTGGGATTACTCTCCTGTCATCATAAAACTTGTGTGGATATTTCTGGGTTTCGGAATACAAAAGACATTAAGATACGTTTTAGTTGAAACCTTTGCCTCACTACAGCTAAAGGAAAAATCTGTTGATTTCAGCAGAGTCAGGATTTTAATTTTCTTTATCTAAGTAAACCACTCATAAACATTGACATTACCCAACGAATTGCAATATAAACTACTGGGTACTTATCACGTGTCCATAGTTCTGTGTTTGGAAATTGATAAACTTCATGTGTTTGCTTTTTTACATGTTGAAAGCACTTGAAAATTTCTGAGGAAGAAAATGTAATCGGCAGTATATATTCAATACATATACAAAATTGGCTTATTCAACATGATCAGATGCAACCTGTTACTTGCCTGAGAAACATTAGGAACATAGCTCTAGGGGAAAATAAGGAGAAGTAGTAAACCCACTAAATATCTAATGCAGCAATTAGTTGTTTATTACACTGTTTGTAATAAACATCCAAAAATTGGAGGAAAAAGTAAAATTGTATTTTTGCAAGTTTCCCCACCATGACACTTCTTAATCTTATTTAACAGCTGATTCTAAAAAGTCAAACTCTGTCTTAACTCAATCTTTTGATCAGCAAATAAGCCCTTGAAGTTAAAAACATTTTTATTGATGACCTCAGTGGCTGAGCAAGGAGAAGGACATAAAAGCAGTTAATACAGTCTATTTGCTATTTTATTTTGTCTTACTGATCAAACTATATTAAACCATAGCTGTATGTTTTTCTATTTGTGATGCTTGCTTGTACTTTACATTCTTGTTGTTTTAGAAGTAAATACCTAAAACATTAATGATATCTTTCAAGTGCCTGAAGTTCCCAAGAAGCCTGTTCCAGAGGAAAAAATACCTATTCTGAAGAAAAAAGAAGCTCCTCCAGCAAAAGGTATATATCATCTCTTGATGTTAGCAGACATTATATATCATCTCTTTATGTTAGCAGACATCCTCTGAATATGTAATTCACAATATTTTTCAGATGCCTTACTTGATCATTACTTTTTCCTGTTCTTTTTGGAGGGGGCTCTTCATATGAAACATTTACGCTGCTGTCTTTTTTCTTTTATTTCTGTTTTGAATAACTTGTGGATTATGTTTTAACCAAAATAATGTTTTTGAAGTGCCTGAGGTGCCGAAGAAACCTGTACCTGAAAAGAAAGTCCAAGTGCCGAAGAAGGAAGCTCCCCCAGCTAAAGGTATATGATCCTGTAATTAGCTGTGATCAGAAAGATCTTCTAGACTTCATTTATTTTCTCACTTGCGTTAAACACTAGGATAGTAAAAGGGTTGTTGCTCTTAAGAATAGTGGTTCTTTGCGTTTGTGTTCAATTGTTTAATGTCACTGGCTTGTACGTCATGGTGTTTTAGATTCTTATTACAAGCTTAATTTACAATAATATCTTACTAAGTTCCAGAAGTGACGAAGAAACCTGTGCCGGAAGAGAAAGTTCCTGTTCCTGTACCAAAAAAGAAAGAAGTTCCACCAGCCAAAGGTATATCAGCTCTTGACCGAGTATGTTAAAAAAAAAATAAAATTAAAAATTCGTCTTTCTTCACCTTTCCACTTTAATGTAACGTAGGGTGAAGAGAGTTTTCTTTTCTTGAAAGTTCTTCCTTGTCATTTCACTTTATTGATTAATATCATTGTTCTTTACCTTATGGTTCAAAAATGAAATTCTTAAACTACAATAATATCTTTAAAGTGCCTGAAGTACAAAAGAAACCTATACCAGAAGAGAAGTTACTTGTCCCAGTGCCTAAAAAAGTGGAAGAACCTCCACCAGCCAAAGGTACACCAGTTTCTGGTTCAACTGTGTCATTCTAGTTTTGTTTCTTCAGCTTTAGAAGACTGCAAGTAACAATCCCTTTCCTCTTACTAGTATGTTTGATACTGAACTTATGTTTGATCAGGACTCTGTATTGTGGCTGTTTCTGTTAGTCATGTGTGCTAGGCTTATTCTACACTTTGAAAATTTCTATGTTTGTGTCTTGTATTGTCTCTGTCTTTCGGATCTTAAATATCTAAATTATTTAAAATTACTTGCAGTTTCAAAACAGATGGTCCAAAAGATAAACACTGTACCTAAACAACCAGGCTTCCCCCTTAGCCTTACCATGCCAATTTGTAGTGCTGTAGACTGTATGTTTGTAAGTTGACATCTGTGTCTAAATCTGTGGATAAAACTAATGTTATCTTTCATACACAATTAAATTTTACCATATTCATGTAGTTATCTTAATATCAGTTATACAGTTATCATCTTACTATGTTTTATGTTACATTGAAAATGAGTTTCTTAAACAAAAATGTCTTTAAAGTGCCTGAAGTGCCCAAGAAAGTTCCAGAAAAGAAAGTACCTGTCCCTGTACATAAAAAGCCAGAACCTCCACCAGCCAAAGGTATCTATTCTTATAACTGAACATGTGGATGAAGCTTCTTATTGTTCCTGTACGTTTGTTATCAGAATTTAACTGAAGTGTCTTAGCAGTTTGTGACAAATATACTTGCTAATTCATACTCTTTAGCTTCTGTGTAAGTTGTCTCTCAGTTTCTCATGTTATGTCTAAGTTTTCTACAATTAAATACTATCTCTGAAGTGCCAGAAATACCAATATCACCCCCTGAAGAGGTACCTATTTTTGTTCCCGAAGAAGAAGAGGAAGAGGAAGCTGTTCCAGACATACCAGCAAAAGGTACATCATTCCTTCTTGAAAATTATCAGAAAGCTTTGTTCATTTCATTAAAAGATCTTCATCTCTATTGATTGTTTTAAGCTGAATGTAAACCTTAATTATCTTTCTGAGGGGAGTTTTCTTCATCTTATTAGTCTTTGTGACTTTGTTCCGTGGTTTTAGTAGTTTTGATGTGCTAAAAGTAATTGAAAATTTCTTATCAAAATGATATCTTTAAAGTGCCAGAGATGCCCAAGAGACCTGTCTCAGAAGAAAAAGTACCTGTTGCAGTTCCTAAAGTAAAGAAAATTCCACCTGCTAAAGGTATATCACATTGTGGTGTATGCAGATAATTCCTCTCCCTTACATTTTAATATTTCAGTAGAACCTGATTTTAAAAATCAATTTATACTCATCCTTGGTTCTAGCACCCTGTTGCTCCCCTGTAGTGAGCAGTGCTAGGTCTTAACCAGGGCTTGACTGTCATGAACAGTTATTGCTCATTGTTCAGTTATTGTTATTGACTTCAGTGGGCTGAGAATCAGATCTTGAATGATCTACTTGTTTTCCATTTTAAGTGACTGCTGTGAATGAAATAATTCATTTTGATATCATTGTTCAGAATTAAAATTTAAATTAATATAAATTTTGTTTAAGCAAAATATCTGAAATAATATTTTATGGGCCTTTACCTGGAAATTCTTCGATTCAGGGAGATCATTCTGACATGTACCTTGAGAATATGTTAAAATATTAAGTCTTTTAGCTAAACTCATCTAAAAATAAAATCAAATCACAACTGATCATTCAAATAACCAGAAGATACACCCTAAATGTGAAATTCAAAGTGGAGGCAGACTATTGTAGAGGCCACCCTTTGGTGCCAAGCAAATTCTACCTCAGCAGCCAAGTTTTTTAGAAAAAAATTGAAAAGCAGACACTGGAAGTTTTTTTATGTGTAAAATTAGATGGTATAATCTTCTACAACCTCTCTTTTGTGATGTATCTTGCTAATATTTTCTTTTGGCAGTGATGCTGTTTAATTAAGAATTGGGCAAAAAAGCTAATCCTCATATGATCCTTACAACTCAATTGCACTTTGATGTTTTCAGGGAGTGAAAAACAACTAGTAGAGTTTCCCTTATTTTTATTACTATACTTTTTCTAAAGTTGGTGTCCTTGTGGTTTATGTTGCAAATTTTTCTTTGTGGTGTTGTGAAACTAAAATTCTTAAAATAATATCTTTAAAGTGCCTGAAGTGGCAAAGAAAGTTGTGCCTGAAGAAAAAGTTCCCATTTTTGTTCCTGAGGAAGAAGAGGAAACTATTCCAGAGGAAACTATACCAGCAAAAGGTACACAATCTTTTCTCGCAAATTACTCTTGAGATCTTCTGGATTCTTTAAAATTCATCTTTATTTCTTGTTCTAAGTTGTATGTGATTCTTAATGATCTTTTGGGGGATCTTGAGATCTTGTTTCATGTTTTTTCATGTTTATAACGCCCTGATAGTAATTTTAAAATGTGTTTGCAAAATAATATCTTTAAAGAGCCAGAGATTCCTAAGAAACCTGTCCCAAAACAAAAAATACCTGTACCCATTCCAGAGAAACTGGAGCTTCCTCCAGCAAAAGGTATATAAATTAATACCTAGGAAAATAATGTATTGTTATTCTCATTCAATGTCTCTATTTATTCCATTTCGTTTGTTATTTATGTCAGTTTTGTGTCTCTGCTGTCTTTCTGTATTCATGTGTCAGAGTGCCTGTCAAATTCTTAGTCAAAAATAAGCTCTGAAATGATTTGACTTGTTCAAGAAGTCTGCCTATGGATATAAAGTGTCTTTTGGTTTTACTTCTGTTTCATCCTGAAAACATTTAAAATATATTCTGCAGCTTTTCTCATTATGTCTGTTCGTATAAGTTTTGCGTTGCTGTTCACATACTACTGGTATATGACATTCTTAATAGAAAATAATGTCTTTAAAGTGTCTGAGATGCCTAAGAAACCTGTTCCTGAAAAGAAAGAACCTGTTCCTAAAAAGGTGCCAGCTCCACCAGCCAAAGGTATTGCAGTTTGTAAATGCTATTATCATTAGTAGATTCTTCATAAAAGTTGAGTTTAGCAAGGGACATTTTAGTATGTCTGTCTTGTATTTTATTTGTCACTATACTATTTGTTTGTTTGTTTGCAAGTTTCTGTTTTGCTGCCTGTAAGCTTCTGGGTTTGTGTCTATTTAAAAATTGTGCAAAGAACACTGAAGTTAGATCCTATCTTTAAAGTACTCAAGATGCCTAAGAAGGTTGCTCCTGAAGAGAAGGTACCTGTTGTCCCCTCTGCAAAAGTGGAGGTTCCTACTGCAAAAGGTATATGCACTCCTGATTATAATTAATATTGATGCTAAAACTACTCTTGACATTCTTCTTACTTTTGTCTTTGTTATATGAGGTTTCTGTTTGAATCTATGTTAAAACTGTTCATGATCAATGTTTGTATTGTAGAACCATAAAACTCTGTTTCTTATGCGATTTTACTTAAAATGTGTTAAGGTGTCTTTTTCAAAATTTCTAAAAGAAATCCGTATCTTTAAAGTCCCTGAGGTGCGAAAAAGAACTGTTACAGAAGAGAAACTGCCAGCTGTTGTGCCCAAACCCAAAGAAGCAACACCAACTAAAGGTATAGATATATTTCTTCTTATTCTTCCCAAAGATTTGTTTTCCTCCTCATTCCTAAAATCTTTTATAATAGATGTACTGTTTTAGTATGTTTTAAAAAAATAATTAAATAAATGCATGCTAGTAACAATAATACTGTTTCTAAAGCACCCGGAGTATCCAAGAAATTTGTCCAGAAAGAAAAAGTCCCTGCTCCTGTGGTGGAGAAATATGAGTACACATATGAAGAGTATGAGAAGTATGAGACATACGAAAGTATTGAAGAGTTTGAGAAGGTTCAGGAAACTGAAGAAATAGAGGCATATGAGGAACCTGAAGAACCTGAGAGATATAAGGAGATTCAGCAACAGGAATATGAAGAGGAGGCTGAGGAGAAAGATGTCTATGACAAGTATGAGTTTAAGGAGGAAGAAGAGATGTATGAGAAATACGAGGAGGTATATGAAGAGGCTTACGAAATCCAACCAGCTATAGGTACATCAAGTCATGATTTCTTTATTCTTATAGTTTGTTGAATTTGCAGCTACTGCTTAGGCGTCCTTTGGGTGTTTATTTTTATTTTACCCTATTTATAGTCCTATGTGTGTCTGTTGCTGGTAATGATAAATCCATTTAAAGACTTTCTCTCCTACACCTTCCTTAGAAATTCTTCCCTTCAGAGTGGAATGGGAGGATTCCCCATCTGACTGCCCAAGAGTGAGCTAGTGTAGATCTGACACAGCAAAGTAAATTATAATTTTCTGATGCAGTTCAGCTTCAGCCTGAATTAAATATTTTTATGTGTCAATATTTGTTTCTTTTGCCCAGTTTAACTCCTGTGAGTTACAGCGATGTTAAAACTCATGTAGGACCTTCCTTCTAATCATTTAAATTATGATCATACGATCCCTCATGCCAAACAGAAAGTGCATCTAAAATGTACCAGGAAGTTGTATGCTGATATTCCTTATCTTTAATTGCTCAGGAACTCTGAGATAAGTGGCTGTTCTCTTGTTGCTGCACAAACGAGATGGTTCCTCTACAAATGAGTGATTGTTCTGCTTGCTTTCTTTGTATCTATTGTAATTCCTCATAAATAACTGGAAATCCATAATGAAATATTTTTTAAAGTGCCTGAGGTGCCTAGAAGACCTCTGCCAGAAGAAAAAGTACCTGTTCCTGTTCCTAAAAGAGAAGCTCCACCAGCTAAAGGTACATCAGCTACTAGATAAATTTTAAAAACACAGCCTTCTGCCTGAGTCTCTGAATCCTCAAATCCAGTCACTGATAGACCCTCAACTTTCTTTTGCAGTACAGTCAAAGACAGGGATTAAGTTACTTAAAAAATAATATTTCTTTAGCGAATCAAAACTGAGACCAATTACTTTCTGAGACCAAAGGAAGTGCAGGCAGGACCTTCAAGGTTTATTTCTTGCCATCACAATATTGGAGACATTTTATAGCTAATCATTGGAAATAAACAGATGAATAAATTAATAAAAGTCCATTGAGCTATACTACCATAACAGTGAAACTCTAGTTTCCTACAGAATCCTAAAAAACTAGGACCTTCTTCAACCTAATGATGTGCTGGAGTGCATATAATCTTAATAGGTGTTCTCTGTAACAGGCTCCACGTAAGTGTCATGAATAACAGTTGTCAGTGGATGCTAATAGAGTTTCTGTACTAGTTTGGAGCTTTGTAATATTCTATTCAGAGCACTTAATTTGCCAGAAATTCATTTTGTGGTAACTTTTATAGTTGTTTCTCACACAAATTATCAAAACGAAATCAGTGGGAAAGGGATTAAAAAAAAAAAAAAAAAAAAAAAAGAGCTGATAGTTCATGAAACCTAATTGTTAAGGCTTATCCCAGTCAAAAATTTGCCCAACAAGAACAGTGTTATTCTTTCTGTGAATGCTGAAGACTCTAGCTATGTTAATCCAAGCAAAATAGTCCAGATGGATGGCCTGCAAGGTCACCACTCAGTAGCAATTGAGGACACTGTGTTTTGTATTTTCTAAATTTTCTGGCTCTTCGCATTGTTTGCTTTTTGTTTAACTTCTATTCTTACATTATATTCATACTGAAAAAGTTCTTAAAAAAAAATCAATGTCTTTAAAGTGCCAGCAGTGCCGAAGAAACCTGTTCCAAAAGAAAAAGTCCTACCTGCTGCTCCTAAAAAGGAAATTACTCCACCAGCTAAAGGTATAATTCCTCCGCACTGTCCTCATGAATCGTGAACTCTGATTTCAGTCTTTTGTCTTCTTTATCTGTTGAGAAAGATGTGCGTATGTTTTATGTCCCCATAGTGGTTTTTTCAACTGTTGGTGATTGAGTCTTTTTTTGCCTGTTGTTTTCAAGTCATTTGTTGAAAAAGTGTTGAGAGTCACTTTTAAAAATGTGTGTTATGTTGTTAAGCTACATATAAAAGTAGTTCAGAAAGAAAGTTTTCAGTTTTTCTAAAAAGGAAGGAGATTCCACCATCCAAATGTATGGCCATCTTTCAAGAATATTTTTTTTGTTATTCTTCTGTCTAATCTTCAAAATTATCATAAATGTTCTTGCAGGAAGCATTAAATCCTTTGTTGTTTCATAAATCTTCCTTGTTAGATTTGCTCTTCTTTCTAACTTCTTCCAAATAACTTTGGAAGCACTAAAAGTAAGTTGTATCTTAAAGGATCAGCCGTTCTCAAAAGAATTGTCCCTGAAGAAAAGAAACCTACATACACACCTGAAATAGAAGTTCCAGCAATGAAAGGTAAAGGGACCTTTGGTATGAGATTTCATGGAAAGGAAAATATTTGTGTTATTTTTCTTAACTAACGTCTTCTTTATGTTCTTTACACCTTGGTAAGAGTATCTAGCCTCTAAGTGCAGATTCAGCTCTCAGTGATAAATTGAAAACCATGAGCCAGACATTTCAGATATGTACTATACATGTGGTAAACAGTAAATACATTGATTTATGAATGAAAACATGCTGAAGAGGTATCACTACTTACACTACCAGTGTGTAAACCTTCAGTGCTTTTATATTTGTAATATAGTTCTGAATTTAGTTTAACCTGGGGTTTTAAAGCCAATGCATAGGTCATGATATTGGTGAGAAGTAATGATATTGAAGAAGTAATAGGGCAAGAGCTAGTTAGTTAAAATCATTAAAGCTGTTACACTTATCAGAAGGAAAAGCGTGACTATACCGCGAGAAAAGCAAATGGCTTCTGCTCTTTCAGAGCAGAAGCTATACGTTTCTTCAAACAATTAATTGTTTCAGCAGGTTTTTTTTCAGTTCTAGAACTGTGTAATATTTCATTCTCAAAAAAAGCACGGTTCTCAAAAAAGAACTTAGTTTTCTGGGTTTATTTCTATTTGGAATTTTAAAAGTTGATAATTATTCTGAGGTTACTAAAAGAAAGCTAATATCTTTGAAGTGTCCGAGTTTCATAAGAGAGCTGTCCTTGAAGAGAAAGTGACCACCATTATTCCTAGAGAAGAGGAGCCTCCTTTGTATGAAGGTACATCAATGACACATCCACCAAGTAGTAAATTGCAGAGAATGTATCAATTCATGCTCTAAATTGTTCTGTAAAATATGAGACATTTTCAATTAGTTTTTAAAAATTATTTAAAAGTAACTTCCATCTGTGTCTCTAAGACCCTCTCTCCTCTCAAACTTAGTTATAGTTTAGCATTTTTTAAATGTTCTTTTCTCCTCTATTAATGGGAGAAACAGACACAAATAAGAGAGAAACTAAGTTTCTGATTCAGGAAAGCACTTTAGCCAGATTTGACCAAAAAAATGAACTTAAGTAGACACTGGTTTAAGAGCCATCCTGAGTAAGAATTAATTTTTGAGCTGGGATATATGTAGTTAACAGCTCTTTGTCCATATAAATGTCTGCATTTTTGCATTGTAAGTTGTCTTTCTAATCTTGTCTTGTAAATAATGTTACAATATGTAAAATGTACTAATATCTTTAAAGAGCCTGAAGTTTACGGAGAAGTTCCAACAGAAGAAAAAGTCCCTGTTATTATTCCTAGTGAACCAGAAGCTCCGACAGCTAAAGGTACACCAACAATTCAAGCAATCCATAAAGCAATGCATTCCCTACAAATTAGTCATCTTCGTCATTCCATCTATGTGCTAATCTGTTATTTAATGTATTCATTCTAATATTTCCTTAGATGCTATATGTCTGTCATTGCTTCTTTGTTACTTACATTTTGTATATTATGTTCTTTAAAAAATGTAATATCTTTGAAGTACCTGCAGTGACAAAGAAAACTGTCCCACTGAAGAAAATACCTGCTGCTGTACCTACAGAAGAAGCTCCTCCAGCTAAAGGTACATGTCCTCCAAATGGATTTTCTCTAGCCTCTTTCAAAAGTGAGGTACCAAGTGAGAAACTCAACATACTTGTTTTCCTTGAACAACATGACCAGGTGCTATATACACTGTTTTCTTCCATATGATCTCTTACTGTGAGAGCAAATTTTGTCTGTTTTTTTGTTCTTATCTTAGAAAGAAAGCATATACACAGGGAAATCAGAGAATAAAAATATGATCATTTTGCAGAGATTTACAAAGAATTAAAAAAAAATTCAACATCTTTTTTCATATGTTAAACTAATGAACAATTATTGAGACAGAATAATTCATTCAAGAAAACAAATTCAAGGAATATTTTCTATAAGTTCTTATTTTTGTCTTGTGTAGCATCTGCTCAAACACATTCTGCATCAAGAATCTAAAATTTAAAACCACGAGATTAGACAAATACAAAGAAATTTAGTAGACAGGAAATTCGTAGCAGGGCCAGGGATTTACCTTGTATTTATTTGACTTCGTGTCTCATGTACTATTGCCCAAAATACTGTCTCTGACAATATATTTTTAAAAAGATCTGAAAGGTTGTGGCAGAAGCTTGTTTGCAGAAGCACTCTGCAGTCATGTCAGGGGCTTTAATAAAGTCAAGACTAAGGTAAGACTTTAAATCATGACAAAATACAAAGCCACAAAACATTTTTCATAGAAACATGTTTTTTTAATAGAATTCCCACACTGAAGAACTCTGTAGATGTTTGAAACATAATATTTAGTTAATTGCACTGGAGTTTTGCTTTGCTTTTACAAGTAATTTTGAAATTTCACAAAATAAAACCCTTTAAATTGCCAAAACTCCTAAAGATTGTTTGATAAGAAAAAAAAACAAACCCACAACCTAGGTACTATCTTTTCAGAGAAGGGCAAATTCAGACCTGTAAGCGCTAGGATTTCGAAAAACAGTGAACTCCAGAAACTGAAGTTGATGAGTTGTATTCACAGGTTAATACCGTGTATTTCTGTATTGTTCTAGTAGAATTTTTTATTGATTTACAGAACTGTACTACTTATTTTCTAGTACAAATTTCTAAAATAAACCAATATTTTTAAGTTCCTGAAGTACCAAAGAAACCTGTCCGCAAAGACAAAATGCCTCCTGCTCTACCTAAAGAAGAAGCTTCACATGTTAAAGGTACAAGAAATTTTGAGTAGGATTTGAAGGATGAAAAATGCATTTTCATATATAGATCTTTAATTATTTTGAGAACATTCTGTCTACCATAAACTAGAGTTTATTTAGCAGCTTTAGTTAGCTGCAATAGTATAAAATTAACTTAAAAAAAACCAAACCACACCTGTAGTCGTTCTTAAGGGTAAAATTAGCTTTATGTGCAAAAGAAGCAATTGCAAGGGACCCTGCTACTTGAAATGAATTGGGGCGGGGTGGGGGAGGGAAATAGAAAAAAATGACGAGCTCAGACAAACAGGGCATATCTCTTTGCACTCAAGGAAGTAGTTCAATTTAGGACATATCACACATATTTCTTCTGGCAAGCTGCAGAGGTCAGATCAGGGTAGAACATGAGATTTTTTCCTTCCCTTATTTGAAAGAATCCTAATTTTGAGGGTAGATATCAAATAGACCTGTATATCTTAAGATGAGCTTGAATATTTGATTGTATTTGTTCTTTATCGTTCATATTGTTTGTTTTCTGAAGATATTCTAAGTTCATTTAAGTATTTAAATTAATATCTTTCAAGTACATGAAGTTTATGAGGAGATGCACATTGAAGAAGAAATTGCTACTGTTCATAGAAAAGAGGAAGTTACAGCACCTAGAGGTATATATAATCTTCATCATCTCTTCCTGCAATTTGCATCCACGAATGCCAGGAAAACTAAATTATTCATGTTAATGGCTTAGTTCTTGTTCAATGTAATAAATATTTGTGTTCATTCTTTTAGTAACTTAAGTTACATTTTTTGTATTTTTTATGTGTTGTCATTTCATTCTATTCTATATAAATTCTTAAAATGAACTAATATCTTTAAAGTGCCCACAGTCATTAAGAAAGCTGTTCCAGAAGAAAAAATGCCTATTGCTGTGTCTAAAAAACCAGAACCTACTCCTTTGCCTAAAAGACCAGAATCTCCACCATCTGAAGGTACTTTGATAGCCTAACAGAACCGAGGTCTTTTGCTGATAACATCTTTTCTGCTTTTTACATTGTTTCTGATTTAATAGTTCGTGGTCTACGTGACATCTTGTGTCAGATTTGTGGCATTTACGTTGTATATGTCCCTTTTCCTGTTTCTCAACTCATCTCTAAGTCATAAAATCAAAACTAAAATAAGTAAATATCTTTCAAGTGCCAGAATTGCCCAAGATGACTACTCTTGAAGAGAAACCTGTCCCTCTGCCTAAAAAGCCAGAAGCACCACCTGCCAAAGGTATAGGTCAACATGTGCTTTCCTTCTCCTTTTTCTTCAGGTTTCTTCTATCTCTCATTTTGTTGTTAAGTCATTAAAAATTAGTTGAGTCATCTATTTCTTCTACCTAAGAGTAATCAATTGTGATGGCAGAGAAATTGTATCAGAAACTAGTCGAAGGGACTGAAACCTCTAGCTTAGTCAACATGCAGTGAGGTTTACAGAGGAAACATTTTCACTTCACGGGTGTTTATAGGTACTGTAAACAGCCTCAGAAGTTCTATCAATACTCAAGCAAGAAGTATATACACTTCCTCTTTCACATTGCTTAGGAGTCAATTAATTTAATTTTGAATGGAAATATCATTAGGCACAGAAACCAGTCTGTCTGAACTAGCAGCTTGTGTGGCATGTCACCATGACATGACAAAAGATTCCCAGTGAAGTCACTTCAAACTGTTGTTTGCCAGAGAGATAGAACTGTGGAGACTTTTCAGAACATGACACTGTTGTCAGAGAATCCTTATATATCTACTTGTTTTGTCTTATTTCTCTGTATTGCGTGTCTTATTTTTGTGATTCTTAAAAGTACACTAATAACTTTAAAGCGTCCAAGGTACCCAAGGAATCTGTCTCAGAAGAGAAAGTAAATGTTGCTGTGCCTAAAAAGCTAAAGCTAACATGACCTAAAGCTTATATGTCAATAATGGTGACTCTTTGAGGAGGAGATTTCTCTTTCTCTTGGGCAGTACATTACAAAGAAAAATTATTTCTCATTTATAAAAAATTCTAGTAGCATGTAATAGTATACAACATTTTTTTGCATGATACATCTCTTTTTATATCTTATCTTACATTTGTTTCTGATATGCTGCTTCTGAGACTTTTTCTTCTTAATAATTTACATATTTTGAAATACCTTAAATGTAACAAAAATGAATGCTGTTTTCTTTTAAGTGCCAGAAGTGCCCAAGAAAATTCCAGAAGAGAAAGTACCCATTGCTGTGCCTAGAAAACCAGAACCACCACCAGCCAAAGGTATGTTGCACTACATGTAACTAAAATTTGGAAGAGAAGAAATCCACTGCCTTGATTGTGCAGATTAGTTTTTGATTGTGTTTGTGTTGTCCTAGCGCTTTTATTTTCTGTGCCCACTGTTCTATATATGCTACTGTTTTGAAAATTCTTCTTTTTGAATCATAGCTGTAATCAGTGTACCAGTGTGTTAGAAATAATGATTTGGCTGGGCAGAGAAGAGACTGATATTTGAGAACTACAGCAGAAATCTTAAAGAGAAAACAGGGCTTCTGTTATCTGAAATACTTCCAACTGACTGAAAAGTTACCCCCAAAAGAGAGTTTAATAATTACAAAGTATAGAATAAGTGATATAGAGGTCTAACACAGGAGAAAACCCTCTGTTTGTACGTAGATGAAAAATTGATACCAAGAAGTCAATGTACATAGAAGAATGTGACAAGGAATACAAAATGGACAATGGTAGCCTTAGTCAAGTGGAGATTTGGGAGGCAGTTGAATAAAATGTAAAAATAATGTAATGTAGAAGGAGAAGAAACTCCAAAAGACTCTGAGGTGTTTCCTTAGACTTTACAGGGACATAAAAGAACCTTAAGTCAATAAACACGTCAAATCAATAGCTCAATTAAGAACCTCCCAATTTGGCAATTGCTACTGAAAAGTTTTGAACATAGCTGTAAAATTCCACATATTAACTGAAAATAATCTCTTTCCTTAAAGTGCCTGAAGCACCCAAGGAAGTAGTTGCAGAAGAGAAAATTAAAGTTGCTGTGCCTAAAAAGCCAGAAGTACCACCAGCTAAAGGTACTTTTCATTAATAAAACCATGGGAATAATTTGTCCTTTCACTGATAAGACATTGTCGGTACTATTTCCGCATCTTTCTATCTTATAAACTGTCATTTTTTGTATTTCATTTTTGGGAGAAGCCTCTTTACTCCTCTCAAATGACTCTCAATCAAGATTGAGAGAAAAAATGCCGGTTTGGTAAAGGGTATTATGTTTAATTGATGTTACCTTGTGTCTTTTGTCTGTTTCTTTTTCCACTTTAATGCTATTTAATTTATTTTAATTCTTAGTATTAACATAGCTATTAATTTTAAAGTGCCAGAAGTGCCCAAGAAAGTTCCAGAAGAGAAAATACCAGTTGCAGAGCCCAAAAAACCAGCAGTTCCACCAGCTAAAGGTACTTGTCATTATGAAAAAAATAACAGAATAAAAAACATCACTCTTTTATTGTTTTAACAATAAAATTATTATTATAAACAATTATAGAAGAGAGTACCCAAGATGTCTGTTAGAATTTTCTTCTGTTTTCAAAGATTTTGCAAGTGAACAAATGTATTGCGTGATAAAAGTAGATCTTGGTAATTAGTGTTCTCACTAACACTGTTCTGTTGTTATACTTTAATGTTGTTTATGAAATTCTTATAGTAAAAGTTATTAATATTTTCCAAGTGCCTGAAGTACCGAAGAAAGTGGTCCCAGAAGAGGTTTCAATTAAAATACCAAAGAAACCAGAACCTCCACCAACTAAAGGTAACTGGTGTACACAACTAATGAAAGAAAAACTCTTCATTGTTTAGAATACCATTTTAACATATTGGTAATTTACTTTTATTATAAATGTACTATAGAATATTTTTATCCTTTAAATTGTATTTTTTGCATCTATACCTCAGTGAGACATCAGAGTAAATTTTCTGTAGGCAAAGAAAAAAGTTGATATTCAGATCCAAAACCACTGATCCAAAACCACTGATCTTTTTGATATTCTGGAGTTCTACCTTTTTTTAGTGTCTTAACTCTGCAGACGTATGTTTGACTTTCATACAAATAAAATTAATTACTTTCTTTAAAGTGCCTGAAGTCCCCAAGAAAGTGGTTGCAGAAGAAAAATTACACGTTGAAGTTCCTAAAAAAACAGAACCTCCACCATCTAAAGGTATACGTTCAATACTGATAAAATTGCACGGAAGTTTTAATCCACGTCTCTAAATATTATCTGTTTTAAGTTTGTGTTATCCTCTTTTTTAATATTCTAATATCTACGAAAGTTACAGATTGTGTTGTCTTCTTCACTTGTGAATAGCTCCCAGAAGGCAACAATGACTATAAATGTGCACATCAAGGAAGATGAAAAAAACACACACTATTTATAAGGAGTATTTTTTTTCTGATGCTGTTTGATAATTTTCCTCTTGGAGCTATTGTTGCTTTTTAAATTCCTGTTCTTCAAACTCCTGAAAGTAAACCAAATAAATATCTTTAAGAACTTGAGGTGCCGAAGAAAGTTGTTCCAGAAAAGAAAATACCTGTGCCCAAAATACCAGAACCTGAGATTCCACCTAAAGAGCCAGAACCTGTGGTTGTCCCAGATCGAGAGGCTGCACCTGAAGAACGAGAACCTCTACCAGAGAAAGGTAAATCTCAAAGCTAATAAGATAACAAAAGCAATATTTTTGTCTTTTCTTTAACCCTGATTTTACAGGTCTTCTGTTTTCTGAGATTCTAAATTTTACTTGTTCTATGTATCTGTATATATTTATGAAACAGACCTATATGGGTCTTTTAGAAGAATAGTGACACATCATGGATGTCCAAATTGCCTGTATTTTTTACTTCAATTCTTCTTCCTATTTTGGATTATTCTTGCTATTCTACCTGCTTGGATTCATGAAAACGACCTCAACTAATATCTTTAAAGTGATAATAGTAGAAGAAAAGAAAGTACCCATTCTAGTAGCTAAGCGCAGAAGATATCAATGTAATTAAATACCAGGAGCTCCACCAGAAAAAACTAGACACCGTCACTGCTAATTCTTGGAAAATTCTTCAGCTTATTACCTGCAATGTTATTAATATCTTTTATCCTGTCCATTCAGTTTATAATTATCACGGATTTTACTTATGGCTTAAGTTATACTATCAGTGCATGTGTGCACTTGCATATGGGGGCATGAGGCTTGGGATGCAGGGTGAGTGTACATTTGAGAGAAAAGGGAGAAAAGCCAAAATGTTGTATATTCATGGTTAAAAAGGCAAACATCAGTGATTAATACCTAACATGTTTTTAATGTTTTCATTACAATTGTGGTTTTATGTTTTATGATTCACTTAAATTTGGTATGATTGTCTGTGCAGTTGTTAAATTTCAAACTAATATCTTTTATGTACATGAAGTGGCCAAGACAATTTTCCCAGAAAAGAAAGTACCTGTTCAAGTTTCCCGAAAACCAAAGCCCATGGCGGGATCCCCAAAACCAAAGCCTCAAGAGGTAGAACCTCAAGAACTGGAACCTGCTAGAGTGACTCAAAAACAAAAGCCTGTTGTGGCACCCCAAAAACTGGAGCGTGTTGTGGCATCTGAGGAGCCCAAGACTCTTCTGGCACCCCAAAAAACAGAATCTGTTTTGGCATCCCAAAAATCAGAGTGTGTTGTGGTGTCTGAGAAAACAGATATTTTTGTGGTACCTGAGGAACCCAAGCTTGATGTACCACCCCAAAAGCTAAAGCACGGTGTGATGCCCTCAAAACAAAAGCCTGTTGTGGAACCCAGAAAAACAGAGCCATTCATGGCCCCTGAGGGACCTGAGCTCAGTCTGGCACCTGAGGAGTCAGAGGCAGTTGCATCAACCCAAAAATCAGAGCGTGTTGTGGTGCTCCCCAAAGCAAAACCTTTTGTGCCACCCCAGAAAACAGAGCTGCTTGTAGCACCTGAAGAAACAGAACTTGTTGCAGATTTCCAAAAATCAATGCCTATTGCAGTATCCAGAAAATCAAAGCCTGTTTTGGCACCCTGTGAGCCAGAACTTGTCGTGATGCCTGAGGAACCAGAAGCAGTTTTAGCATCCCATAAATTAGAGCCTTCTACAACACTTCGAAAACCAAAGCCTGAAGTGGCATCTGAAGAACCAGAGCCTGTTTTGACACCTGAGGAACCACCACCAGCTGAGCTGGCTGAAAAGCAAGAGAGTGTTGCTATACCTAAAAAACGAGCAGCTCTGCGGCCCAAAGGTACCTCTTATGAATAGGATCTCTTTTCCTTCTCTTGAGTATACTATGTTTCACTGCTCTTTTCAAAGTTTAATATGTGTAACTAAAAGATACTAATATCTTTAAAGAGCCTGTGACGCCCAAAAAGACTGTCTCAGAAGAGAAAATTCCTGTAGCCATTCCTGAAAAATCAGAACCTCCATCCGCCAGAGGTATATGTTATCCTGAATACATGATTAACACACCTAATCTTCTCTTAAGTATTATCTTAACCTTTTCTGTTCTGTCATTTTGAATCTGATGTTTTAAATGATGCTTGCTGAACAAATTGAGCTGAGTATGAGTGTGTGCCAAATTATTAATTCAGAACGTTTCTGTCGTCCTCTGTGTTTCAGTCTCTGTACTTATGTTCAGTTCTATTGTAGTTGTAAAATGAAACACTAATATCTTTGAGGTGTCTGAGATGCCTAAAAGGGCTGTTGCAGAGGAGAAAGTGCCCATTGCTGTACCTAAAAAACCAAGAGCTTTCCTTGCTAAAGGCACATGCCACCATGATTATCATCATAAGGAAGGATGGGGTTTTTTAAATGCATGAATTGCTGTGCAGGGGTATCAAATGTTTCCTCAACTAAAACTGTCCAGACTTTTATTGTACTATTTTTTTGGCATATTCAAAAAGTTCAGGATGTAAGATTTTATTTCTTAGAATATAGCAATAAATCAAGCAGGTATGATAAACTTCTGTCTACCAATAAATGCCAAAACTTTATGGATGCTAACAAGAGAATGAATGCATAAACTGTTGTTCACACTATTAGTAGGCATGGTTTAATACATGGTTTAGTGGGACTTGGCAGTGTTAGCCTTATGGTTGGGCTCGATCATCTTAAAGATCTTTTCCAACCTAAATGATTCTATGAGAAAGGACAAAATAAGCAGAAACTGAAGGTTTCAGCAGAGTAGCAGTTTCCGTACATGGAGCAAAATAATTGTGAATATCTCTATGTACTTGTGTTGCCATGGGTAGCAGTAGGGAACAGAACCTTTTCTTTAAACTGTTAGTTATAATTTCTTATGTCAACATTCTGTACTCTGTGATTTGAGAAGTTTTTACATTGTATGAATAGCACCAAAGAGCTGTAAATTTCCTGTGAAAATATAATTCCCTGAGCCTTGTAAAAGGCATTTATTTTCTCAGATTAATCAGGATGAGAGACTTTATAATTGGAATAATAAAAAATTACTTAAGATACTCTAAAACTGTACACACCATAGATTGATGCAGTGCTGCATCCTCTTTTCTTTTAGAAAGTCCCAAGCACTGGCCAGAGAAGTAAACATTCCCTCTGCCACCAGCTTCTCTCCATGTGAAATATAGTGACATTCCTCTAGTGAAGTATCACCTCACAGTGACAAAATTTAAAGCATTTAAATAGTTTAAATAAGTATAACAGGAAACAGTCGCAAGCAGCAGCTGCTGATTAGAAAGCAAGCCAGAGCTGCTACAGGAAAGAATGTGTGAAGCAAAAAAAAAAAAGAGACGAAACATACAAACACAGAAAAAGAAAGGTGAAGTCAACTTGAAGGATAAAAATAGTGATAATATCCAAGTGCCAAGTAAAAAGATGAGTGCAAAACCCAGCAAAAAACCACAGAGTCCTGAATGATACATGACTGATACACAAATACAGTAGGATTCCATAAATAAGTCTCTGACCAGCTCTTACAAAGAGGGCATGACTCAGAAATGGAAGCTAAACACAGAATTCTCATCTCTTGCATGATGTATTTGACACCCTGGTCATTCCACGTGTTTGAAGCAAAGCATAACTGATGACTGAATGTAATCACAGCACTTTCTCAAAGAAGACTGCGTGCATGTATTATTGATTGTCTTATTGTTTCATATATATCTGTAGTGCCCACAAAACTAAAATGTACTAATATCTTTGAAGTGCCCAAGGTGCCCAAGAAAGGTGTTCTGGAAGAGCCCATACCTGTTACTGTGCCAAAAAAGCCAGAACCTGCACCAGTTCGAGGTACCTGTTGCCCTGGGCCTGAGTGAGACTGTTTCTTACTGTCCTACATGTTACTTCTGATGTCTGTTATCCTGTCCATTTGTGATTACCTGAAATTTCTACATTCTGCTGTGTACAAATTCTATTGTTAGAATGGCAAATACATGGGGAGCATGAGGAACCCTTCCAATTTCCTTCATATATGTTCAGAATCTAATATTTTATATATCAAAACTGATTAAATACATGGGAAAGAGCTTTCTACTCTGGATTTTTAATGTAAACGTCTGTCTTTATCATTTTACCAGGAATCTCAAGTAATATAAATGTTTTTTTTTTACCCAAATATTTTTTCTTAACCACTATCAACTGGCAATCCTGTCCTATTGTGTGGTAGTAACAAATAGACACAGTCTTGACACAGCAATATTGAAAAAAAAAAAAAAGCAGACAAAAAAACCCAACACCAAACATAAAAATTGATCACTTCAGTGAGAAAAAGAGGAAACCCAGGTTCAGTGGACTGTGAAGGAACTGAAGTTAAGATGGGAAAAGAAGTCCCAAAGTAGAAACAGGGACATACTCAGATAGGACAGTAGTATTTTAAGACAGGAGCATGTGTCTTAAATCTCTCGATCTGGGTCGAGATCCCAAATAACAGGTATTCCAAACATTTTACTGCTTATTCAAATGCATGGTAGATCAGGATGGTCTTCATTCCATGGACAAATTTCATATGAGAAAAGCATATGGCTGTTGTCATATATTTGATGCATCTTTTTTCTGACCATAAGTTCATGGAAACCCAAGAAAGTGCGTTCTGAAAAATCTATAATTCAATTACACAGTTATTAGGTACAAGACTACCAGATCTTTTGGATTTGTACAGAACAATTCTGCATCTCATGACAGAGAGCAAGTAAACTTGCTCTGACTGTGGGTAATCCTTTTACCCTCAGCAAGAGTAATTTCTAAATGCAAGGTTATAGAAGCCCTGAAATCTCACCAAGTCAAAAGTCCAAAAATAATTATACTGCAAAACAGTTGAAAAAACAGAATAGGAATAGAGGAGAGAAGTAGTAATGATTATGGGATTTCTGTTCCTCATCCTGTGACTGCCCACACCGCTCAGTGCAAAGCACCAGCAGATTCATGAGGAATGGCATCAGAGAAGATATGGGCTGAGGTTGCTCCCAGGAAAAGTCAGATCCCAGCAAAACTGAGAAT